CATAAACTCATGTAATTTCAGCTTCATCTATATTTTTTTATGTGGCCAATTTGATATGTCTTGGTACCTGTATCTTGGATTTGTATCTCTGTATGAAGATTGTGTTAAAACCTTGTAAAGAAGTTCACCCCGGCGTCCTAGACCAGCCAGCACTGTCTAGGAAGTTGGACAGAAATTCTGACTTCATAGCTTACTAAATGAAAAAAGAAACTAACAGGTTTCAGTGAAAAGAAGTTTTCCCAATATATTACCCCAGGAGAATTGTATCAAGTTAATAACAACTTTCTTTGAGATAATAATAATTACCGTTACTCAAAAGTCATATGGTAGTTGGTTGTCCTGATATGCCTTTTGGTTTGAAGATTTACTAATCATTTAGGAATAATAATAATAGCATTAATAGTAATAGGTAACATTTTGAACTTTTCACATACATGGCGTTATTTCATAATCACACCAGTCCTCTTAGCTATGGGTATTTATCTCCATTGTACGCACGAGGAAGTTGAGCCCTCGAGAGGTCAAGTACCTCTCCCAAGAACACAGACGGTAGGTAAGTGAGAGAGTCAGGATATGAACCCATCTCTCTCTGATCTTATTTATAATAGTGAGTGAGTAAATGGTTTCTTATACTTGCTCATTTTCAGCTTTCTTGAGTTGAGATCTTAGCTCATTCATTTTCTATCCTTTTCTAAGATGAATATTTTTAAGGTTATAAATAATTTTCTAAGTATCATCTTAGCTGCCTCCCACAGGTTCTGTTTTATACAGTGGTCTCCTCTCGTCTGTGAGGGAAACGTTCCAAGACCCTCAGTGACACCACAGCAGTCGATCTGGTAATCAGGACAGCTACTAAGTGACTAACGGATGGGCCATGCATGCAGCATGGAGACGCTGGTCAAGGGGATGATTCACATCCCAGGCCGGGCAGTGCCGGATGGCACGAGAGTTCTGCTGCTCAGAACAGTGGGCAGTTTAAAATTTGTGAATGAAAGGCGAAGGGGGTTAAGAGGTGCAGATTTCCAGTTATAAAGTACATTAGCCACAGGGATGTGACGTGCAGCATCGGGAACATGGTCGCTAACGTTACAGTGACTGCACAGTGACAGGAGGGACTAGACTTGTGGTCGTTTCGTAAGGTGGATAGATGTCGAACCACCGTGTGGTACACTCGAAACTAGTGTAATACTGCATGCTGACTAGGCATTAATTTTTAAATCTAGAAAAATATCACGAATTGTTTCTGGAATTTTCCATTTAATATTTTTGGACCGCAGGTGACTGTGGGTAACTGAAACCATGGAAAGCAAAATCGTGGGTAAACAGGGACCACAGTACTCTTTTTTGGTGTTTCGTTCCAAGTATTTTTTAGTTTTAATGTATTCAACTCAGATTATCTGGGTATTTCTTTTTTTCCCTGAGAGTGTAAGTTTTTAAGGATAGATTTTTCAGGTTCTTCTAGAGTCTTAAGAAAAAATATAACTTATTAGAGAACAAAATTTGATAGTTTCTTTTTGAGTGTCAACTTAACTGTATTAAGCCAGTAGTTGTCAACTGCTTTTGGCTTTCTTACTGCGGTCCACACTGCCTGAACCTCTGTGACTCTCGTTGAATCTTGCTGTCGCTCGTGCTCGTCCTCGGCATTGTTACACTGCCGACTTTGCTGTATGGTTCTCTCGCAGAGTTTAAAACAACCCATAAATGAACTCATTCTGAACCGGTTACAAGCAAAGGAGACACAGGAGACTCGTGTCATTCTGCCTCTGTGTCTCCCGTCGGACCATGCTCCACAGCTCCCATGGAGCTTACCAGAGGCTCTTCCTTAGCTTGTTCTGAAATTTGCTTGGATCCGTGCCGTTCACCCTGGAGGCCACTAAGCCACATGTGGCTGTGGGGCACTTGAAATGTGGCTAGGTAAATCAAGATAATGTTATTAAAGTTAGTTTCACCTGTTTCTTTTGACTTTAATGCGGTTAATGGAAAATTCTAAACTACATACGTGGCTCACATATTTATATCACGTATGTCTTTTGGGTTAACAACAGCGTTAGGCAGCAGTCATAGCCTGCGGGTACAAGTCAGCTTTCTCCTAGCTTCTGCCCTCAGTGCTCCGGAGAAGACTCACATTAACACCTCTTGGAATTCCACGGTTCCTGCACAAGGTCAGGGGAAGCGGGTGCTTGTTCTTTCTTTTTGAAGAACGCGGCCAGAACGCAAGTCATGCACCCAAGAATACTCTGACCGTGTTGATTCCACACATTGGTTAGATTTCTCGAAAAGGTTTAAGATTTCATTCTAGTCACCTTTCTGTTTCTCAGACACGCAGGATTGTTATCAAGCGGGGACCAGTAAAACCTGCTTTTAATAGCTCGCTCTGTCTGGAGGACTAAGGCAGCAGGAGCAGATGGGGTGCGCTGCAGAAGTGGGCTCCTGCTTGGCAGTGGGTGGGGAGTGACTTCGGAGGGAGGGCCTCGTCCCTCATCTGCCTCCTGCATCGCCGGCCTTTGCTCTTCTCGCTGGCGCGGTCCCACTCTTGAGTGTCTTCTCTCTTGGATTCCGGGTTTTTATGATCCGACCTTAAGCTCTGTTGTTAGACTGAGCTTCCGTCCAATGACAGTGTCGAGAACAGCAAAGCCTCGGGTAAGCACTGCTGCTCGGCGCTCTCCTGTTGCGGCCACTTACAGAGTCGCAGCATCGGCGCCACAGGGATTCGGCTGCGCCACACTCTACCTGGACCACACAGCCCTCCGGTACGGTACGAATCGGGGAGAAAGTACCCCGTCTCACGTTACTTCACTGCCTTCTGTTGGGAAGTTGTCATAAAAAGGCAGATCTCTAACGACTAGTACGAGTGACGCGCCTTCACAGTCGTGCAGCTGCACGCTGGCTCTGAGACCGCTGCGGGGGTCAGACAGCCAGGAGGCGAGCGAACCTCAAGTCGTGGGTGGCACCCAGGGTCCCGGGAAACCAGTCTGCAGTAAGGACTGGAGGCTCACAGGAAGCTGTGGGGCTGGGGCTCCTCACACCCCGGTTTTGCAGACAGGCAGGCAGAGGCAGAGAGAGGTCAGAGAACTGGCCACAGGCCCGTGTCTGCCAGGTGGCTGCGCTGGGAGTCCAGCCGAGGCAGCGAGAGTCCAGAGCGGGGTCTCGGCCGCAGGCGTGCGCTCCTCGAGCCGGCCTGCTCAGCCACAGCAGACCCTGCGGCCGTGCAGGGCGGCAGCGAGGCCTCTGCCCCTCGTGCCGTGGGCGAGTCTGTAGCTACAGCCTTTCTCCGATTTTGGCAAAGGAGGCGGGATTGTGCTCTTTTCTGCCAGTCCTCCTTTATGTGAAGTGCTGCCCCTTCGGTTCAAAACAACCCCTGGTCCGCTGACCGGGCAGTGGCGTCGCTTTTTCCCAGCGGCCCCCGTTTGGAATTGCAGGGCACCTGCGCTGCCAGCAGCCACAGGCTGGCCTGGCCCGTGCACTCCCGGGCTCTGCCCTTCGCCGAGGCTGCCAGGCCCGACCTCCAGCACTGCCCTCTTTCCTGCAGTGCGCACCCTCTTCTCCAGTCCCCCCGCCTTTCGAACCCTTATTGCTGTTCTTTCCATCAACGTGACTCTCGTCTTCTCTCCGAATTATCTTACACATGCACTATCTGATTTGGAAGGAGACTGCCTCAGGGTGGAGATCGCCTTGTTCTGCAGTGATGCGGGGTCTGGAATGCTGCATAAATTGGCATCTGTGCAGTGTGGGTCACAGTATTACTATTGAAATGCAGAAGTGCTTTCTGAACCGTGAGGACACACCCTGCAGTATTAGTCTAATGCCCATATGCGTTCTTTAAAAGGGAAGAAAGCAGCTATGACACACAGGCGAGCAGTCAGATCTCAGAAAGCAGCCAGAGACCAGGCCTGTGCCCAGCTGTTTCTCGGTGCTTTTGTCTTCAGAGAACCAGGTTTGCAAGATAGTAGATCAGGTCCTGTTGGTCATGCGGACCGTTTGGACGGTTCATGCTGGTCAGAAAGGCAGGAAAGGCCCTGGAACCACCTGCCTTGGTTTGTGTTGGCCCAGAATCTGTTATTTCCTCAGTGACGTTTATGGGTGAAGTCAGTGGGATAGTTATAGTTATGTAGATGTTTTCTGCCAAAGTGAATCAACTTCAGGTTTTTATTAGCATTTTATGATGCAGACAGAGAGGCTTTTAGGCTTCTTGAATTTTAATGTAGACATGCATGTCAGAGGGCTCATTACAGACTATTGATCCTTCCCAATGCCTGCCTCAAGGATGACTTAGGGAGTGGTCAGTGAGACAGTTTCTCTCTGTCTAAATAACTTGCGTTAAAAATCTTTACATTAGAACTTGTTAGCCTGGTTTTCCTGAATGTGAGATTTAGTAAGTATATTTTGATTAACAATTTAACGAATGTCTTTTCATGAAAGAAATGCTACTCAGAATGAACGGAAATAATGCTAAAAATATCAATCAAAGTTACCTGCAAATCTTCTAAATAGGAAGTTAAATATATCTTGATGACCATTTAGACAAATATGCTTTTATGAGAAGGTAGACAGCTAAGTCAAAATATATTTTAATATGAGTGAGTCTTTGTTCATATACAATGTGTGTATGTTGCACATGGATATATACAGCGATGAGTTGAAGTGTGATAGCTGAACAAGGAGCACAGACAAAAAGTGCCACCTGACATGGAGTTGTGAGGTTAAGTGGGACAGTCGCTGTGATGTGCTTGGTGGAGTCGTTGACAGTAGTGAGCGCTCGAAGGCTCACCACCCACAGGCCTGGTACACCTCCGTGACTGTGGGCATTTGGAGAGGAAGCCGGCCACGGCTTAGGGGTCAGGGAAGGAGGAGGGCACGATTGAAATAATACTTCTTGCATCTATTTTATTTCAAGTATTTTTGTCTGAGACATGAATTGCTAATAGCAAATACTTTGCAAGGTATTTATAATGTAATATAATATAAATCCATATTAATGATATGGTCTCTTTTACTTTCAGGAACTTTATATTGCTGTAGGAATATCTGGAGCCATCCAACATTTAGCCGGGATGAAAGACAGCAAGGTAACTAGACAATAATAATGATGCCAAGAGGAGAAACTTTCGTGTTTAAAATTTGGGTTTCACTGTATGTTTCCACAGAAGTAGTGTGTATAGTTGAGCCATTCACTTTCTCACAGATCTGAGAACTGAAAGAAACCCGTCACATTCGCTGCCTGAAGGCGCAGCCTTCTAGCTGAGGCAGTCCTGTGGCCCCGCCCTCCCTCCAGCACGCTGCAGGGCCTGTCTTGTTTGCCTCAGTCCCTCGTCTGCCAAAAGTAGGGGTGGATGGTGATCTCTGAGGTCGCTCTGACAGTCTGTGACTAGCACACGTGGTGTGAAGACAACTTGGTGAGGCTCCGACCCCTGGTCCTCTGTCCGCTTCACCCTGGTCCCCCCAGCAGTCCTACCCTCATGCGTCAGAAAGGCCCTCTTTTTGGCTCATTACTGAAGTGTGACTGACACGGTTTGGGTTGGAGCATCTTCATTCTTCACACCTCAGTAATTTTCAAAAATAACAGTATACAGAGGAAACACTTAATTTTAAGCTGCTGCTCGGACTGTCTGTTGGAGTCCTGTGCAATGACTCTGTGAAAATAGATTTCAGAATCTGACACGTTAATTCACGCATGACAGTGTACACAGTTAGAATGAAGAACTTAGTCTTTCATAAAGTCGGAGATGCTTTTGATGTCCCTGCTTTTTATCCATTTTGATGGAAAGTTGATGTAAAAGGTAATAAAACTTTTAACAGGTTTAACTTCTAACTTGAAAAAAATGCATGCACCTACCTCCTTGTAACCTCTAAATGAATTGGCCTCAAACCAGTCAGATTTCACAGTTGGACGGCAGGTTTCTTTACTGAAAACAGCAGTGCCAATGGGGAAAATGTTATTTCTGCATTAGAAGGAAAAAAAAAAAAATCCCACTCCAACAGCAGCAGCCTTAAAAAATATTTTTAGCCAGGCCAGTTGATACATTTGTAGAAGTCTGCATCTCTAAGGATCCCGAGAAGACGCTGGTGAACGTTCTCGTTCCGTGCCGGCAGGGCCTGGTGGAGGGGCAGGTGGGCTGGAGAGTAGACGCCAAAGCGAAAAAGGAGCAGCCGAAGCAAGGGGACCAGTGCTCGGCAGCAGTTCACAAGAATAAGCTTGAGCCGAGACTGTCCACGCAGTCAGCAAACGTCTGTTCAGCCCGTGCTTGTACTACCTCCGGGGGTTGCTTAAAAGAAAAAGACACACAGCCCCTGTCATCATCCCTGTCTTGTGCGGGAGACACGGCAGTCTCTGGTTATAATTTTTGTTAAGCTTTAAAACGGGATTTTAGAGTGATTGGTTTAAATCTGATGGTTGCATGGCCTACTAGCTGCCCTTTTAATTAAAGTCGAAAGACTATGAGGTGCAGTTGTTATAGTAAGCAAGTCAGTGTAATTAAAGTACTTTTTGGACTATTTACATACTGATAGGGTCGAATACCGTCTGTGCCCTAACAGCTCTGTCATCAAGAAGAGCATGGATTTAGAAGGATATGAAGAGAGTTCGAGTGCAAGCAGGATTTATCATGTTTACAGTCGATAGTTCAGGAATATTCTTTAGTAATCTGAAAAACTGTAACCAGCCCAGGTCCTTTTTTGTAAATACTTCAGTAGTTCCTTGCCCACAGTCACATGCTGTTTCTTTAAAAATAACTTTTATATAGTGGGATGAAAAAGCTTTCACATGATTAACTGTCGGATGTTTAACTTGGTGGCCTCCAGGAAAATTGTTACCCATCATTAATTAAATAAATCTCTGCCAGCAGCAGTGAAACAGGCTACATACGCCCAGGAAAGAAGCACCTCCATGCGAATCCAGCCTGGGATTCAGAACGTTTGTCCTCGTGACTTTGCGTGTGAGGCTCAGGTGGAAACCATTGTTGACTCTCTCTGAGCGCACACCTTCCAGTGCACACGGCACGTTTCTCTGGCTGGGTGGTCCCCCGGGCTCTGCTTTGCGCCACCCCGGGTCCTCCAGGAAGTTATGCCCATCGTCCAGGGGCCTCCTCAGGGCCCTCTGGTGGAATGACACATATGTCATGGGGCCTGTATCAAAAGATATAAGACTATATCAAAATACTTTTAAAACGTGTTCCAGCCGTTTTCATGAAATAAAGTAATAGGCAGTTTGATACTTAATTTTGCTTTTAGAGACTTGCATTATAATAATCTGTCTATAAAATAATACTACATTAGAGTCAAGACTCTAATTTTACTTTAATTACAGTGATTCTAGAAGCCATCTATAGGAAATACCAAATTATTTGTAATAGATAAATGTGTTGTTAATAAAAGCGTAAATGGTAAACACAGCACCTTTTTTAGTATTTCTCCTTAATCTGTCACCGATCTGTCATTATAACATTTAAAAAATTTATAGGACATAAGAGGAACTTTTGGTACTTTTTATAGGAGATGTAGTGATTAATTTGTTTTATTACATGTATTTGCTGCATACATAGGAATGAACTTTTTTACCTTAAAGTCCTCCTTTACAAACAGGCTGATTAGATAGTTAACTTTTACATTGTCACAGTAGACCCAAGATAATAATTTTAAAATACTAAACGGAATGCTTTATATGGAGGATAAATTGTTTGAGCTGCAAAAGCTATGAATTAGGGCATGGATTTGATACAGCTTTTTTTCAATTGAAATTTAACATTTGTAATCACAAGTTTAAATTTATGTGTTGTTAATAGAAAACATTAATCCTTTTATAAGGGAAATAAGCTGAGGAGTGACTGTAATAATAAATATCTTGTGACCGATAAAGTAGACTTCTATCTTATTGAACAAAGCACACTAAATATATAAAATAAGTTACTCAATTTTCCATCCATGGGCTTTATTCAGTACAGGTAAAAATTTTTGAATCACCTGCAGAACTTGCCAGTTATATTTTGCTTGTTTTAAGTGAGGTTATTGAGGTATAATTTATATACAGTAATAGTCAACTTTTTAATATATTCCACTTAAAATTTTTTTTCTAGTAAAATACACCTAAAACTTACTATCTTAACCATTTTTAGCCATGTAATTAAAAATTGTATACACGTCGTATACCATACACAATGGTATTAAGTACATTCATAATGTTTTACAACCATCACCACCATTTACCTCCAGAATTCACCTTATAAAACTGTAACTCCGTACCCATTAAACACCAACTCCCACTCCCCTTCCCCCCGGCAAGCACCGTTCTACGTGGTCTTTATGGTTTGACTCCTCTAGGGACCTCGTGTAAGTTTTCGTCTTTTGGTGACTGGCTTATTTCACGTGGCATAGTGTCCTCAGGGTTCATCCACGTCGTAGCATGTGTCAGAATTTCCTTTCTTTTCGAGGCCTAGTAACGTTCCATCGTATGGGTAGACCGCGTTTGTTTATCCGCTCATCCGCTGATGGCCTCTTGGGTTGCTTCCCCTTTTGGCTACTGTGAATGACACTGCTATGAACATGGGTGTACGAATATCTCTTCGAGACCCAGCTTTCAATTCTTCGTGCCATATACCCAGAAGTGGAATTGTTGGGTCATGTGGTTATTCTGTTTTTAATTTTTTTTAGGAACTGCCACGGTTTCCTTGGCAGCTGGACCATTTGATATTCTCACCAACAGTGCACGAGGGTTCCAGTTTCTCCACGTCCCCACCAGCACTTGTTTTCTGATCTTGTTTGTTTTTTTTTGATAATAACCCTCCTAATGGGTGTGAGGTGTTATCTCATTGTAGTTTTGACTTGCATTTCCCTAATCCTCAGTGATGTTGAGCATCTTTTCATGTGCTTATTGGCCATTAGTGTGTCTTCTTTGGAGAAATGTGTATTCAGGTATTTTGCCATTCTTTTAATCAGGTTGATTTCTTTGTTGCTGTTGAGTTTCAGGAGTTTTCCAGTTTCTGGATGTCATAATCCCTTATCAGATATGTGATTTGCAAATATTTTCTCCCATTCTCTGGATTGCTGCTTTACTCTATCGATAGTGTCTTCTGATGCACAAATTAAACATTTTTTCATGGGGTCCAATTTGTCTTTTTCTTTTATTGCCTGTGCCTCTGGTGTCATATCTAAGAAATCACTGCCAAATCCAATATTGTGAAGATTTGCCGTTTTTTTCTAAGAGTTTAATAGTTTTCAGTCTTAACATTTAGGTCTTGGCACAGTTGTCAAAAATCACTTGACCATATATGCGAGGGTTTATTTCCGGGCTCTCTGTTCCGTTCCGGTGCTTTACGTGTCTGCCTTCGTGCCAGTACCACAGTGTTTTGATGAGCTCTGGAGGAAGTTTTAAAACCAGGAAGTGCACGTCCTCCAGCTTTGCTCTTTTTAAAGGTCGTTTTAACTGTTTGAGGTCCCTTGAGATTCTAACAGGGTTGCAAGGAATCTGTAGATTGCTTTGGGTAGTAATGACATCTAAGTTGTGTTAGCTATTCTGGGTTTCTTGAGATTTCTTATGAATTTTAGGAGGGGTGATGGGTTTTTACATTTCTGCAAAACTCATTGGAAGGACAGTTTTGATAGTTACAGGATTCTTGGTCAACAGTTTTTTTTTTCTTTTAGCACTCTGAATATATGAGCTCACTGCCTTCTGGCCCCCCATTTCTGATGAGAAGCTGCTGGTGATCTTATTGAGGATTCCTTGTATGTGATGAGTCACTTCTGTTTTTCAAGATTCTCTATCTTTGGCTTTCAAAAGTTCAATTATAATGTGTCTCACTGTGAGTCTCTGAGTTCATCTTTTTGGGCATTTGTTGAGCTTCTTGGATGTTTATATTCACATCTTTCATTAAATTTGTGAAGTTTTTAGCCATTATTTCATCACATATTCTCTCTTTCTCCTTTTTTTTCGCCCTAGGACTCCCAAACATGTCTTTTAGTCTGTTTAATGATTGCCCACAGGTCTCTTAATATGTGTTCACTTTTCTTTAATGTTTTTCTTTCTGTGCTTCAGAGTTGATTTCAATGGTGCTGCCTTAAAGTTTGCTGATTCATTCTTCTACCTGCTCAAATCTGCCTTTGAATCCCTCTAGTGAATTTTTCATTTCAATTATTGTATTTTTCAGCTCTAGAATTTCTTTATGGGTTCTTTTTAGGTTTTCTTTCTCTTTCTTATTTGTTTTGTTCATACATCATTTTCTTGACTTTCTCCACATTTTCCTTTAGTTCTTTGAGATGGTTGTTTTAAAGTCTTTGTCTAATTAGATCTGCCATCAGTCTTTTTTTTTAGGGACAGTTTCTGTTTTTTGTTTTTGTTTTTTGAATGGACTGTATTTTTTTCCTGTTTCTTTGTATGCTTTGTGATTTTTTGTTGTTGAAAACCGGACATTTGAATCTAATAATGTATCACTGGAAATCAAATTCTTCTCCTTTTCCAGGGGTTTTTGGTTATATTTTTGTTTATTCTTATTTATTTGATGGCCAAAGGCTGTCTCTGTGCCAAGGATTAACCTGAGGTATGAGTGTAAGTTCGTCTTCTCTGGGCTTTTCTGAGCCTGCGCCTTTCCCTGGGCACATGTGGTCACAGTAATTTCCCCTTATGTGCAGTTGCTTTTGAATTTCCTAGTCTGGCTGCCAAAAGGGGAAAAAGAGGAAAGTGAAGGGGGCCAGCAAAAGTAAAATGACCCTTTAAATCCCTTGCAAATAACTTGAGTCGGAGGGGAGGAGCTCGCGTTAGTGGAGGGCGGTGCAGTAGCAGTAGGAGCCCCTCCTCTGTCTACACCTCTGTGGTCAGAAGCAGCAGTCATCGATCAAAGCACAGGTCCCCAGTGTTGGAGGATGGGGTCCTTTTTGGCCACTGTGGCTCCTGCAGGTTGTGTACCAGCTGCCTCAGGAACAGGTGCACCATTGCTGGGAGGGCAGCTGCCCTGTGCCAGGAGCCGAGGCTTACCCCGCAAGCCTCCCTGGCAGTCGCAAGCTCGCAGTAGCCTCCAAGTCCCCAAACAGTTAGGGCACGCAGGTCCAGGTCCTGCCCGTGCAGTTGCCGTGCAGGTGAGGGGCAGATTCCTGGCACTTCCCGCAGTCCTCTCCTCTGGGTTGTTCCTCATCAGAAATTAAACACCGGTTTATAAATCAAAACGTACCTTCAAAAAGCAATGATTTAAAACCTGTTTTAATGCTGTGATGGGCTCATGGTGGGGGTGGGAGATAACTTTGTTCTAACACAGCAAGTTCTAGATTTACAGTATCGGCACAAATGAATCAAGTTAATCTTATTTGGTAGACATTAAGACTACAAGTTTGTCATTAGGGAAGTTAAAATAGAAAAATCAATTTATGTGGTATGTTTTCTTGATAAAGGCCAAACTCTTTGTTTTTATTTTACAGACAATTGTGGCGATTAACAAAGACCCAGAAGCTCCAATTTTTCAAGTGGCAGATTATGGGATAGTCGCAGATTTATTCAAGGTAAGCTGGCCTTGATAGTGATGGCTGTTATCCAAATTGTCATCCAAGAACCCCTTAGAGCTGGTCAGGGAGGAAGCTTTTATAGGGAGACTGTGTGTTTGTGTATCCTTTGTGTGTTGATATTAAGATATGTACACACAATTTCGAATTACTTAGAGTGAAGTCCTAATGCGTGATGTTTATATGGAGCATTATAAGTTTTCCTTGAAGGGATCTATAGTGTCTTTAAAATATCCACGTGGCTCTTGGCATCTGATGCGCTGAAGTTAGTGTACAGTGAGGAGTGACTCAGATAATTATAATCTAGAATCATATTCGGGGACACCTTAAAGAAATTCACAGTAAATCCCATCCTTTAGAGACTTGCCCATGACGCGTAGCTTTTCAGGAGGTCTGGCTTCGGCCGTCGCCTTCCAGCCCCATGTGCCAGCCGATGTGCTCGTGCGTGCACGTGGAGAGCACAGCTGGCTCTGGAGAGGTCCATGCTCCGTGAGCTGCCAGTGTTGCGCAGGCAGGCAGAGCCTAAAGGGCTGTTGCCGGGGTCGGCATGGCCGTCCCGCTCTGGAGAAGCCCCCTTCCCCTGAGCTTGCATCGTGCTTAGGGAAGAATGCAGGGCAGGGGTTCAGTGACCCCGGAATCCTGTCACGTGGCCCAGCTGTGTAAGAACAAACAATAGTGGCAGTTATTTGACGACTGAGATATCCCCGGAGGAGGAAAAGTTACTATAGAAAGAGAAACTTTTCGCATTTCTGTTCGAGGATGACTTTGTTCAAGTAGCAAGTATTTAGTTCCGGTGAGATACAATAAAGAGCTCAAGGCCTTTTAATTTAACAATGAAATCAAACACTTCCTAAACCCTAACCATATATCATGTTGACATGTTTGCAAGAAGACATCTACTGTAGTTGCCTTTTATTTTGCCTCGAGAATATTTTAATAAGTTTATAAGTAATTTTGTTTCTTTTAAGGTATTTTTCCTGTCTGCTTCTGTACTGTGTATTGCAACCAACATGCAGGGCTTACTTGATAAAAGGATGCAGTGTCAGACAGCTGGGAATTTGTGATGTTCGTACCGTGGACATCTTGGTAGAAAGAGGTCACCTACGCTCTGCGTCTTGCATTAAGGGCTGCCCCCGGTCTGACACAGAGGTGGGGAGACAGGAAGAGGGAGTCAGAAGTGGGGAGAAGTGGGAGGGGGAGCGGCGGTGTGCTCAGAGAGCTCTCGTGACAGTCCTGGGGCAGTAAAGTGGAAATGGACCTCAGAAGGCGTCCAGACAGCTGATTTTCAGGCCGAGATTCTCAAGCTACTTTTGGCATTGTAAGAATCCCCCATTTAACTATGGAGAGACTGGACTAAGACATTATGTTTACTTTTAGGAGGAATTATATTAATGATGGAAATAATATGGTACAGTAATTAAGAGCTTTATTTCATATTCTGTCTTGGCCACATACTAGTTAAATTATCTTGGCCTGGCCAAGTTATTTGATCCCTCTAAATGTAAACGTCCTCATAAATTATATAAATATACTACCTACTGTACAAGGTCATAATGAAGACTAAATGAGATTAAACTGCACCTGGTACAGTTGGTGTGAACTGTTAGCCTGCTGTCTGTGTGTATTTGCTCCCATACAGGTCCATAGGAGGCGCTCAACAAACAATAAGTACAGTTGACCCTTGAAGAGCACAAGTTTGAACTGTGTGGGTCCACTTATATATAATGTGGATTTTCTTCAGTAAATACTGTAAATGTATTTTCTCTTCTTTATGATTGGCTTAATGACAGTTTCTTTTCTCTGGCTTACTTTATTGTAAGAATATAGCATGTAACACATATAACATACGAAATATATGTTCTTCAGCTGTTTCTTATCGATAAGGCTTTTGGTCATCAGGAGGCTATTAGTAGTTAAGTTTTGGCGGAGTCAAAAATCGTGCCAGGATTTTCGCCCCAGACCCCCCACCTTGTCCAAGGGTCAACTGTGTTATAATTGGAGGTAGAGTGAGAGGACACAGGGTACCACCTGACCAGTTGTCGTTTTTCTAAAACATGTACAATCAGTGGTTTTTTAGGGTATTTGCCGAGTTCTGTCACCATCGCCACTATCTCATTCTGGAACATTTTCGTCACACAGAGCAGCTCAAACCGTCAGCAGTCACTCACTGTTCCACACTCTGCACAGCCCCTGGCAGTGACTGATCTGCTTTGTGTCTGTAGATTTGCCAGTCCTGGACATTTCATGTAAATAGAATCATGTCCTGGGTGACCTTTCGTGGCCAGCTTCTTAGCACGGTTTTGAGGGTTCACGAACCCACGTTGGAGCGTACATCAGCACACTGTTCCTTTTTATTGCTGAATAATATCCATGCTTGGATGTGGCACATTTCGTTTATCCATTCACCGGTTGGTGGAGGTTCTGCTCGTTTCCACTTCTTGTTTGTTGTAAATGATGCCGCAGTGAACGTACACGTTTAAGTTTGTGTGCAGACGTGTTTTCACCTTGTTTGGGTATATGCCTAGGTATGGAATTGCTGGGTCACTTGATAACTCTATGTGTCACCTTTTGAAGAACTGCCAGACTATTTTCCAAAGAGACTGCCCTATTCGAAATTCCCATCAAGAGTGTATGAGGGCCCGTTTCTCCGTACACGTGGTGACACTTGTTATCGGCATAGCCATGCTAGCGGGCATGCCATCTCATTGTGGTTTTGGCTTGCATTTCCCTGATGGCTAATGACGCTGAGCATTTCTTTTTGTGCTTATTGGCCGTTTGTATATTTTCTTTGGAGAAGTATCTGTTCAGGTCCTTGGCCTATTTAAAAATTGTGCTATTTGTCTTTTTGTTGTTTAGTTGTAAGAGTTCTTCACATATTCCGCATACCAGCCCCTTATCAGCTATATCACTTGCAAGTATCTTCTCCTGTATCTTGTGTGGAGAACAGGAGAAGATACTTGTCACTTTTCTTGACGATGTCCTTTGATGCACAAAAGCTTTAAAGTTTCGATTAAGTCCAATTTATCCTTTTTTTTTTTTTCCTTGTAACTTGTGTTTTCGATGTCATTTATGTGAAACTGCCCCTAGTCCAGTGCAGTGAATATCCATCCGCCTACAAGTACCTGCTCACGTCCGTGCTTTCGGTGTCTCTGGGTCTGTACCTGGAGTGGAAATGCTGCATCATGTGCTGCTTCTAAGTTTAGCTTTTCGAAGAACCTCCAAGCTGCTTTCTCCAGCGGCTCCACGTGACATTCCCACCAGCAGTGCATAAGTGTTCCCATTTCTCCATTTCTTCGCCAGCACTTGTTATTTTCGGCCATCCGAGTGGGTGTGAAGCGGTATCTCCTTGCGGTTGATTTGCATTTGCCTAATGGCTAATGATATTGAGTGTCTTTTCATGCACTTATTGGCCATTAGTATGGAGAAACGTTTATCTACATCTTTTGCCTGTCTTTTTCATTGAGTTATCTTTTTGTCGTTGAATTGTAGGAGTTCGTACATTCTGGATATTAAAGCATTACCAGATGACTTTCAGATATTTTCTTCCATTTTGTAGGTTACCTCTTCGCTTATTAATGTCCTTTAATGCAAAAATTTTTTAATTTTGTTGAAGCCCGGTTTATACATTTTTTCTTTTGTTAATGTTTTTGGTGTCATAGACTAAGGATCCATTGCCAAACCCAAAGTCTTACAGTTTTACCCCTATGGTTTCTTCTAAGAGTCATATCATAGAGTTTTAGCTCTTACATTTAGGTCTTTGACCTATTTTGAATTAATTTTTGTGTGTGGTTCGAGATTAGGGTCCAGCTTCATCCTTTCGCATGTGGACACCTGGTTGTCCCAGCGCCATCTCCGTTGGAGAGACATCTGTTCCCACTGATCGGACGTGGCATGCCCCCTGTCTTTTTAAACCCTCCTCACCTCTCCTCAGCATAGCTGTTCACTAGAGTCGTTCTAATCCATGTACTGTCTGGGACCTGTGTGTTTATCTCTGCTTGCCCCTTTTTCTTTCTTCCTTCCCTGCCTTCCTCCTCCTCCTCCTCCTCCTCCTCCTCCTTCCTCCCCCTCCTCCTTCCGCTTCTGGATTTTCATCTTAACTGCTACAAAACTCTGCCAGAAGAACCTCATAAAATTTAAAAATAGGGAGGCTTTCCCTGCCTTCCTCCTCCTCCTCCTTCCTCCTCCCTCCTCCTCCTCCACCTCCTCCTCCTCCTTCCTCCTCCTCCTCCCCCTCCCTCCTTTCTTCTTTTGCCCAGAGTCCTTTTCTTCTCCATGGCCATGTTCTGATTTTTCCCAGTCCACACTAATCTCTCCTTCCTCAGGACTCCTGAATTGGAGTGCTTCATGCTATTCTTTTCATGCTTTTACATTACAATGTAAGGTGTGTCCATTTCTGACTGGGGGTTTGCGAGCCTTTGTCTGTCTCCCCAATGAGGGGGCCGACTCCTTGTGGGGGGAGTCAGGCCTGGACTTCTCTCTCCCACACTGCTGACCCTGACAAAGCGTTAAGTCTGTGAGATGTAGTTGTGTTATGATTTACATCAGTAGATTCTCTTATTTTAAAGGTAAATGCATTCTCATTTGGTCTTACTGAGCAAGGAGCTGCTCTGTACTGTCTAAAATAGAATAAAGATTAAGAATCCAGCTTTCCCAGTGTGCGCAGCCGTCGCTCAGCGAACCCGCGTTCGCATCCTCTTTCCTTTACGGAGGTGTCTGGTATGCCTGCAAGTCTGAGGCTGAGCTAATAGAAAAGAACGCAGGTGATGGACAGAGAAAGCCCCCTGAACCCTTTCTGGGAGGAGTGTGGCAGAGGGACATTCCGTAAGAATTTTTCAACTACATGTTCTAAACCAAATGTTTCATATAAAAGAAGTTGGGCTCTAGCCTGTTCCTCGTAAAACACGTAGGTCCCCTTGAGTCTCGTTTAGCATGTTGTCTCTGTGACTGGCATAAGCTCATGGCCTGTCCACCGAGGAAGGCCGGGAGAAGGTGCCAGCACTTAATGCTGCTCCAAGCTAATGCCTGCTGGCTCCACAGTAAACATGGGCCTTTTAGTAGGCTGCAGACAAAGTGACACTCGGAAGAAACAACATGTCGACAATTTCCTTAATAAATTTTGTACGAACACATTATTTCCACCTAATGGAAATGTAACGCTCTTAAATAATTGAGAGGCTGTATTCATCCGTGGCGGGTTCAGCTCTGTGTGCCAGGGTGGTCGCCAACCCCTTGGAAGCCTGGGTAGCTGATATTTTATACAAAGGGCTCGGCTGGTGCTCAGGTGGGCTGTGTGACGTCGCCCTGCAGTCCCCATACCCAGGTGTCACAGGGTGGCTCCACACTGAAAGCTCAAGTTGCAGCCACTGAACCGCCAAGACTAACGGTTCATAATTAATCCTCTTTAACATGGGCGCCAGCTTGGTCACTGTCCCCTCACTGTGCTTCCTTACCGTCCGCTGGCCAGCTGCTGCATTCGCAGCGGGCCTGGGTGTTAACAGGGTGGTGATCTGGAGCGTTCAGCTGCCACTCGTTTTCGTGTGCCAGAAGATAGTGAGACGCGCCGCGGAAGCAGTGACGGTCTTTGCAGAATGAATGGCGGGTGAGCGAACAGACGAGGAGAAAACAAGAACGAGGGAGCCGTGACTTAGCAAGAGACTTGGTGTGGCCTTCGAAGGGGAGGCAGGCCAGGGCACTCAACGACGCTGTCGGCGCCAGCGGGAAACATGGGACTTCCTGTTTTCTCTGGAGCCTTCTTGAGGTTTGCAGTTGTGTCAGAAAGTCTCTTAGGTCATGAGTGGGCACTCGGCCCTGCCAGCCGTGTGTCCAGGGTGGTCTGCCCACAATGGGAGGAGAGACTCTAGGAGGACAGGCCGTTCCTGAGTGGCAGAGGGTCACGTGTGCCTCAGAGGGGTTTATTTCTTTTGGCCTCTGGGGACTTAAGGAGCGGTGGCCCTTTTGCAGTGATGGCTCAAGTGGTTAATTAGTTTTTTTTTCAATTCGCAGGTAGTTCCTGAAATGACTGAGCTATTGAAGAAAAAATGAGTCGTGATCGTGTCGTAAAGAAAATTATATGTCTGAGTATTCAGCTGAAATCATAGAATTCCATGGCTGTTATTGGAAACCTTGCAGAGCTGTATTTCAGAATTCGAGGAAAAATTCTAACAGATGCTGGAATGCTTTTTTATGGGGCTGTTATTATGTTTCTTTTATTATGTTTCAATTATTTGTGGTTCTAAACAACTAGTTTTTGAAATTTTCTAATTCTGCAATAAATATATAATAAAGTCTTTCCACAGCTTTACAACTACCAGAAATATGCCTGGCTTCGTAAGGAGAGAGAATCGAAGAAAGGTAGTAGACATTCATCTGTTCTCTCTCTTTGCCCGTCCTGTTCACGGAGGGCTCTGTGTCTGAGGAAGATTATGAACTTGAGTGTTGCCACCATCTTAAGCCACCTAACCTTGTTGTTGAGAGAAGGGGACTAGACTGGCAAATTCGGAGTTAAAACAAGGACAAGTGACATGAATGTTATCCTAAACATAGGCCCGTCTTCAGAAAGCTATGGTAATGTGACAACAGCGCACCTGGCTTCAGGCTGACCCTGCCGAGTGTGTGCAGTTGGCAGCAGTTTTCCGTTTCGTGTTGATACGGGGCTTTGCGTCTGGAGGAGAGGGTGTGGTGTGGTGGGGAGGGGCTCCCTTGAGACAGTTGCAGACCATGTTTCAGTCCCTGGCAGAGGATGCTCTGCCTTCTCCTTGCCCTCTCGATGGCTTCCTGGGCTCGCAGGAAGCAGTCAGGTGTGTGGGTCGGCTGCATGCTCTTGGCTCTGGACCTGCTGTCCTGGAGCATGGCTGAGTGCGTACATGTGCAGGTGAGGGAGCAGAGGCTGGCGAGACCTGGCCAGACCTGCAGAAGGGCGTGGATGGACACCTGGGGCCACAGGAGGCCAGGAGTGGCCAGGACCTGAATGACAAGGGCTGCCACCCTGAAGCAGATCTGCTTCAGGAGTTATGGGTGTTAACAGGATGAGGAAAACAGGGAAGGGATCGGAAGTGACCAGTGGTACCTGACGGGGGAGGGCAGAGGGCCAGCCAGTCCCCTTTGCGTGGCTAGCCTGGGGCCGACTAGCTGAATTGAACCCTTTTTGATTCGTGTCGTAATCACTTGCCGTGAAACACCTATCAAGGTTACTTGTCACTCGCTTTTCCCCCTTTCCGTGCAGCAGGACGAGAGTAGCGAAGCGATGCTCTGTGTTTGAGCCACAGATTCTCGAGCATCAGAGCTGTGCAGTCACCTGGTTGTGCAGATGGGGACACTGAGGGACAGAGAAGATGTGAAGAAGGTAAAGTGACTAGTCCATGGCCACATGATTCGGATTCCCCTTGGAAAAGGAATGCGACACTTTGTCTCTGACTTTGAGGCTCTTCCTCAGTTACTTCCTCAGCTACTCCCTGCTGGACATAGTAACTGAGGACAGGACAGATGGCAAAGGTGACGGTCGGCTGGCTCAGGGAGGACTGTGCCCATGGTCCTCTGGTGTGGGTCTGTGTCCCTTTGGTTCCCTCCTGCCATGACCGCCCCAGCCCCAAGCAGCTGCTCACTTCACGTTTCCTGGGCACCACTCATCGCCGTCACTAGCGTGGTGCTTCCTGAATGCCAGGCAGCGTGCTGACCTTTGTGCGCACAGTCCCTGGTGCTCACGGCCCTGGAAGGCAGAGGCTGTGAATGTCGCTGTTTTCCAGATGAGGAAGCTGAGGCCCAGAGGGAGTCTCACTTGCTGAGCTTAGCTAACGAATGAGCCAGGATTTGCAACCAGGAGGTGCAGCTTCAAAGCAGTGGCTTCAGCAGTATGTGCTGCTGTCCCACCTCGGCTGCAGGAACGGGTAAAGGGCACCAGGTACTCGTGCTGGGTTGAGGGACACGCGCAGGGTCCCCAGTGAAGAGGAGATGTGGTGTTTGGGGCCGGTGTTTGCAGCAGCGTTTTATTCAACCCAGAAGCCCCTCTAAGTGCCCACTGAGAGTTTACCTGAAAGGCAGGTGGCAGCGATGCACCCGTTGATCCCTGTGTTTTACTGGGAACGAAGCTGCCGGCTCCTGATACTCCACCCTGCATATGGGCCATAGGGGTGCGGGAAGTTTTGCTTGGTGTGCACGTCGCCCACCTGTCTCCCGAGGTTGGGGGTCTCTGGTCCACCTCGCAGTGCCCCTGGGAGCTCAGTGGCCGAGTTTCTTTGGCAGAAACCTGCATGTAGAAAGGCGGCCAAGGGCATCAGGTGGGGTCAGGTGGGTGACCCCACCTGGCTTCCTGGTGGATGAGGAAGCAGAGGGTCCATCTCCTCCCCTGTTCTCGTGCGCAGCGGTCTGGGGATGTCCCTGCTGGGCTGCTGGGGGCACAGCCCACTCTCCAGGTTTGACAGCTCCCAGGAAAGATGAGAGGAGACACGGTGATGGGAAAAGGGGATGGCATGAAGCCAGGTGAGGGTCCCTCACTGAGCCTGCCACATCGTCCCCACAGGGGGCATTGACGGCACTGTGGGGCAGGAGCATAGGGAAGGGCTTGTGGGGGAGACCGACTGATGGTGCAGGAGTTTGGCCTTTGTCCTCACAGGTCGCTGTTCTCAGTCTTTGCTCTCCATTCCGGCCCCTCAGGAGCTGGGCCAGGGACAGTGCCGCGAAAGCGCATGGGCATCGTGCCCCGAGTTTCCGGAAAAAGTTCATCAGTAACATTGGGCCGGTCTTACGTCTTTCTTGCATACTTTCTTCTAAAACTTTGGTGGCTGCTGCTGCTTGTCATCGGAACGTAAGCGGGTTGCAAAGCGCATGGACAAGTAGCAAGTGGGTATTAAGCAGGGCGGTAGTGGCCACTGACCCTCCACAGCTCATTTAGTGGACGCTTCTCAGATACTCAACACTGAGGCGGTCGGTCATTGGTCTTCATTTGCATATTAGAATGAAATAGGTCAGTATCACAAGAATGTTCCACCTAAGAGGTGCGCCACTTCCTGAGGCCCTGCCACCCTCCTGGCAACAGGGGGCCGTTGACATTTCATGAAGAAGGCCTGTGACCTCGGCTAGAGGAACAGCCTGCAGTGCGTTCAGGACGGCAGAGGGAACAGGGGGAGTGAGGAGGGGGCCGCGGAGATGGGGCCAGAGCCCCGCCGTGCGTGCTGGGCTGGCGTGCGTGCTGCTTCTGCTCTTTCTGAACCTGGGCTAGGCGGCATTTCATACCGTCTCACGAGGGGCTTTTGTTTGCATCTGCGTGGACTTAAGAGGCCAGGAGACCCAGAGGACACTCTGAATGACAGCAGATAGATTTGGTCAGTTGTCGCTAAGCTAAAGGTGGCTTGCCTAATAACCTGTGGAAAGTCTGTTAAGGGTGACCCATGGCCACAATCGTGTACACCCTTAGGTCATAAAAAATACTTTGTGGGGAACCCAAATGAAGACGAGTTGCTGATAATTCCTGGTTTATAAAGCAGTTCCGTGTAAGTTACGGCACCAGAGGTGGAAAGGGTAGGAAACAGTGAAGGAGTCAGTCGGTGGTGACCTTAGGCCAAAGTCTGCTCTTGACCTCGGGCCATATTCTGAGTCCTCTGAGAGACGGGGGCTGGGTCTTCTGTGGCCCGGCTGGGGTGGGCGGAGTGGAGGGAGCAAGGTGAGATGGCTGAGCCGGGCCAGCAGGGACAGCAAACCAGCCAGTGAGGAGTGTGTCCCAGACAGAAGGGAAGTGTGCGCCAGGAGTGCAGTGGCTGCTGGCCCGTTAGTTTCCACGCTGCCGAGTTCCGCGTGTGCCCATGGCGTCCCGCGCCCTGACTGCTTTCCGGGTGGTCTGGGCCCTCTGCTCGGTTTTGGGTGAGCAGGCGCCTGCTCCCTGAGCTGCAGCTGAGGCCTCTGCATAAAACCATGTCAGCACCATCTCCCTGGCAGCTCGCAGTAAACCTAGCAACAAACATCCCATCATTTTCTTTGGATTATTAAATTAATGGTTCGCCAGAAGGCAGCACCAAACTTGTCAGCACTGGAGCTAGAGTAGTTAGGAATTCCTCGCTCAGGTTATGTCAGGGAAACGTAGATTTATGCCTCATGCTGGAGGAGGGAGAGGAAGGCAGTAAGGTGCTTCCTGTCTGGAGACAGGGCACACGTCCTCTCAGCCAGACTGCCCGTACCAGACTAGCAGCAGCTATAGATGATGTCCCCGAGCAGCTCGGGGCAGCCCTCCCAGAGGCGCTAGGTGTGGGCCGGGGGGTACCCCAGGCAGCTGTTACTAATGAGACGGTTTGTGCTTGTGTCTCCCTTGAAGCATTCTGAAAGGGCTTTCCTTTCATTATGTCATTTGCTGCCCCTGTAGCCCTCACAAGGGTGGGGGACCAGAAGCAGCTGGGCTGGGAGTGCAGGTGCCTGGGCACCAACACCCCCGTATGCACAGCAGCACTCGGGCTGAGGACAGGAGTTTGCAACACAGGGGAGTGTGGGGCAGCTCCAGGGCAAGTGTCAAGCAAGGAAGGTGTTCTTGAGGGTGAAGGAGGGGATGGACACTGCCATGCTTCAGAGAATTCCAGGCCACCAGTCTCTAATGTGCAGGGTTTGTGAAAGGTGCCATCTGTGTGACTTGGTCTGAAAATCCAGGATATGGGCTGGAGGCCTTGCCCAGTGTTGGCTGGACAGGGGCAGTTGTTGCCCATGGAAGATGGACCGTGGGCCAGGCCTGCAGGCCTCTGTTGGCCCAGCTCTCCGGGGGCCGGCCCCCAGCACTGCTGGCTCTGAGCCTTGTCTTCACTGCCAGTGTGGCATGTCAGCGTGGGACCCCGGCCACAGGATTGGCTCCTGTGCAGCTTCCGCTGCCCAACAGCCGTCGCTGGGCTGGGCACCGAGGAGCCGTGAAAGCCAAAGCAGTTTCTTTACTCACCTCCTGCGCTCCAGGACTCAAGGCTCCACCCCACGCTTCTGCCCTGGCAGGTGAGCGTGAACCCTGTAAAGCTGTGATCGTGGGCCGTCCTTGCAGAGGCAGGGACCACCCCTTGGTGTCTGTTCCCAGTCTTGATCTGCTCAGGGTGGTGCTTGCACCCTGGTACTGCCCGCTCACACACGAAGGCAGTTATGCTCAGGCGGAATTGGGCCTCTCAGCAATCTGTAAGTACCCTAAAAACCCAGTCTTTGCAGACCCTGTTTCTAGATGGGGAAACTGAGGCAGAATGCAGGACCACTTGCCCAGCATCGTCCCTCACTGCCGTCCTTTCTGTCATTGTCTGGAGTAGAAGCCGCAGCAGAGGCGGGTGCTGGCTCGTAACTGAGTCTCACTTGTCATGCAAGGCAGGCTCCTTTGCCTGACAGGTCGGCCAGCGGGCCTGGCCGAGGACGGTACTGTTTCTGGTCAGGCCGGCAGACCACCAATCAAGGACCCTGCTGGCTCCTGCCCTAGAAATTAGAAATCATGACATGCTGAGAGTGACCATTTTGCTACCAACATTCTTGAGCTGGGAGTCTGGGAGTTGGGCTTAGTGGGGTCTGGACTGGTTTTGGTGCCTCCCAATGGTTTTTGGCCCCAGGCTCTTCATCTGTAAAAAAGGGTTAGGGACACCCCGCTCACGGGGTCTTTAAGAGGATTACAGGAGCCTTAGTAAAGTGCTGAGTAGTCAAAGCTGTACGTCTGCTGGCGGTGACCCAGAATGCCTCGGAGGACACCTCAAAAACGGCTCAGTGGGACACTGATGCCTTTTACCCTTTTGACAAGTGCTGATGTCCCCGTGAAGCAGCAGGGTGCTATTTGCCTGTGTGTGCTAATTTCCCTCTTTCCTCCAGTTGAGCCATCTGCTGGAGCGACTCGCCAGGTCAGCCCCACCCAGCAAGGCGCTGCAGACTCCTCACTGCTCCACCAACCAAAGAAAACCTCTGCCAACCGTAAGTCCCAGTGCAGCTGGTTTTATTATTGGAGCTGACATCGGAAAATGGCCGCCTCCCCGCCCCCACCTTCATCCCCTTATGTCCTGTGAAGGTGAAAACCAGGTTCGTCTTGAAAAGACTCAGAAACACTCATGCGGAAATGAGAGATTGAGGAACAACGAACCAGTCGCAGAGGGTTGTCTTCTGTGGGGTCATGTGGCTCCAGCCCCTGCTCACCGTGCTGTTCCCACAGTCCAGGGAATGGAGGCTGAGCCTGGACTTCACCTGCTGAAGCTGGGCCACCGGCTAGTTTTGTGAAAGTGGTTTAAAAGCCCCAGCCCTGAGTACTGCCCTCCCGTGATCAGGGCCAGAGGAGGCACCTGTTCTGGGCATCACCTTCCTGGAGGCAGGCAGCACCCTGAGAGTGGCCAGGTGGGCTCCTGGGTCTTTCGTGGGGCCACAGGTGTCTGCCTTCCCTGCCTACCACGGGTCTCTACCCTTTAGGGACCCGGCGCCGTGTCTGCTCTTTGGATGCCAAAGATGTGGACTTCTCCCACAGCATGGGTGCAGCAGACTGGAAGTGGGTGGCAGGCTCCATCTGAAAGACTGTGAAGCCTTCCGGATTCTCCCGCTGGAACAGACCTGCCCTTTGCTCCCATTCGGGACTGCTGTGGACAGAGCCGGCTGGGTGAGCCAAAGGGGACTGGGCCCGAGTCCTTCTGGGATGGGCAGGGGTCCTCAGACAGGGAGGACAGCAGGACTTGCTGCTGCGGCGATGGTGGCAGGGGGGAGAGGCTAGGCTCCAAGGACGGCTCCTCACGGGTGGTGCTGTAGTCTGCAGAGGAGCACAGCGTCTGGCTGCTGTCACTCTGGGCCCGGGTGACAGAGCTGCGAGCGGAGTGGGAGGCGCTTTCGGAGGTGCTCACGTGGGTACCGCTGCTGCCAAGCTTCAGGGGCACGTCCACCGAGAAGAGGTCAGAGGAGACATTGGGCTGGTGGACGTCTATGGCAGCTGTGGTGACCACACACATGGCCGGCTCTGGGGCACCGCTATCTGCAAGAAAGGAGGGGTGCTGGTCACCCTCCACCAAACCAGTGCCCCTAATGGGGTGGGTCTGAGCTGGTCCGGTTCTAGGCGTGTGCATGGGCTTTTCTTGACCGTGAATGTTCATGTTCAGGCTCACGCTCAAGACAGGTACCTACCCATCCCCTCCCCAACTCCCGTCCAACCTCCTGTCCCTTCCCCATGTCATCCCGTCTCCCTCTAGTCCTATCCCTCCCACGTCCCATGTCACTGCAGCGTTCAGCCCCATGCCCGCCTCCCTCCCTCTGCACCCATCCCACCTCCATTCTCTCCCACCACCTACCTCTTCCCACGCATCATCCCATCTCATTGCTAGTCACGTCCTCATCCCAGCTCTACTCCCATCCCGTCTCCCACCCCTTGCACACCCCATCAAGTGTCAGCCCACCGCCTTCGCTACTCCGCTCCCCCATCTCATCGCTACCTCCATCCCATCTGTCGCCTACTCCCACCCTTGCCTCAGTCTCATTCCCATCCCACGCCATCGTTTCCAAAGCTCCCAGGCTCGAGATCTGGGCCCAGTGGGGTCTGGGCTGGTTTTGGTGCCCCCCATGGTGTTTGGCCTCGGGCTCATCGGTAAAAGTGGTTAGGGACCCCTTCTCACGGAGTCTTCAGGAGTATAGGAGCCTTAGTAAAGTACTGAGTAGTCAAAGCTGTATGTCTGCTGGCGGTGACCCAGCATGCCTCGGAGGACACCCCAAAAACGGCTCAGTGCGACACTGATGCCTTTCGCCCTTTTGACAAGTGCTGATGTCCCCGTGAAGCAGCAGGGTGCTATTTGCCTGTGTGTGCTAATTTCCCTCTTTCCTCCAGTTGAGCCATCTGCTGGAGCGACTCGCCAGGTCAGCCCCACCCAGCAAGGCGCTGCAGACTCCTCACTGCTCCACCAACCAAAGAAAACCTCTGCCAACCGTAAGTCCCAGTGCAGCTGGTTTTATGTTTTACATCAGCAAATGGCTGTCAGCACGACACACACGTCTATCTCCTTATGTCCTGTGAAGGTGAAAACCAGAGTCTTCAAGATTTACAAGTGCAACTTCCAACCCCGCTCCTTGTCCTATCATCCATGCAACCCCATTTTACAGCCTCTCCTGTCTCCCACCCCTGATCCCATGTCTCATGTCCCATCCCATGTCACACCACCCATGCCACATGTGTCACCCCACCTCCCTCCCCACTGCCATCCGCCAAGCCATCCTATCTCATGTCCCATCCCTACACCCAATTCCTCTCCTGTCCCTTGTCCCAGACTCTCTCCAATTCCCCCAAATTCCCATGCCGTTTCCTTCCCACATACGCATAGAGATCAGGTGTCCCTCCTTTCATTCTGTTGATGTAGTTTATGTATTATAACTATGTGGTGTTCTTGTTATTTTGTCGTTTCCAATTACTGAGATAGCTGTAATAATCTCCAAAACTGTGAATACAATTCCATCCACCCTATCTCCCACCCATATTCCCTTCAAATCCCATTCCACCACCTGTCCTCCTTCAGCTCATCTCCCATCCCTACTCCCAGACCATCTCTAATCGCACTACGCAGTTCTTCCTACATCGCCCCCCATCTCCCCTTCCTACTCGCATTGCATGTTTCTTTCCTAATCCCATCCTGTCTTGTCCATGTACCCACCATCCATCCCTTATCCCATCTCCCATCCCTTGTCCTAGCTTATTACTACCTACTCAAATGGCCCATTTCACATGCCACATTATCTCAACGCTACTCACACCCCATCCCATCTTCCAACCTGTGCACTGTCATATATCTATATATCAGTGAAGTCAAGCAAATGTCATTAATATCTTTCAGGAAATCATGGTCGAATGGAAGAAAACCATGGATCTTCACTCAGATGCCAGAGAAAGGCCTGGGCAACCACCGCAGCCTGTCAGGGTAAGTGGCAGAGGTCACTGTGGACCTTGAATGGGCTGTGTCCACTGTTTCATGCATCTGGGGTGACACACAGTCTTGTCTTTTCCTAGACCAGACGGCATGGCCACTGGCACCAGAGAATGAGAACGGGACCCGTTCATTGTGACCCATTTGTGCAGTTTGCCTCTGCTGCAGTCCTACAGAGATCACCCAAGTATGTCATCTTTTATCTATTGTCTCTGATTCTAAACACAGCAAAGCTCATTTTTGAGATCAAATAGTAAGTTCTAAGAGTATCTAGTCACTGAGATGTAATAATGAAATTATGAAAATAAAGTGTATACAAAGATTTATTCAGTTATCGGAGAATAAGTGAATTCAGGTAATATAAGTTAAAATAGTAAAAAATAATTTTATGTACATATTAACACATTCAATTAATTATTTATCAATAAAGTATGTAATTAATCTATAATGAACATCACCTGCTCAGTTCATTTGGGCAAGAGAAATGTAGACACTGATCAAAGTAGTGAGTTAGATGCCCTCACACTTCACAGTTCTGGAAGAATCTGAGTTTGTAAGAAGGATGGAAACCCCAGCCTGACCCGGCCCACAGAGTGACCCCAGAGAACCAAGAGGACCCAGGCACCCTGGAGAGCTCAGAGACCCCAAGATTCCACCCGTGAGAGGTTCCACCCCAGGAGCCCTGGAAGCCCCAGGCTGGCCCAGAGAGAGACCCAGGATAACCAAGAGGACACAGACACCCAAGGACAGCTTGGAGAGAAACAGTAGAGGCCCCAGAAATCCCAGGCCGACCCAGAGAGTGACCCCAGAAAACTCAGACAGCTCAGAGAGAAACCCTAGAAGCCCCAGAGACCCCACCCGGCCCAGAGAGAGGCCCCAGGAAGCCCAGAGAACCAAGAGAACACAGACACCCCGGGCCAGCTCAGAGATAAACCCGAGAGGCCCCAGATACCCTATTACAGCTCAGAGAGAATCCCCAGAGGATCCAGACACCCTGGAGAGCTCAGAGACCCCAGGATTCCACCCGTGAGAGATGCCCAGAGAGTGACCCCAGAGATCCAAGAGGACACAGAGGCCCCAGCCCAGCCCACAGAGTGAACTTGAGAATCAAGAGACACCCCATGACACCTCAGAGAAACCCCAGAGGTCCCACAGACCCCAGTACAGCCCGGAGAGAGACCCCAGAGCCCCAGACACCCCAGCCCAGCACACCCAGCATACCTCAAGGAGCTGTCCAACATTTTCCCACTGATCCATGAAGCTGTCCAGCATTTTCCCTATGAATCATGGAGATGTCCAGCGTATTCCCTATGAAATAAAGATCTGTTCCCCAGATGTCCCAGACACCCCAGAGATCCCAACCCAAGAGAGAGAGATCCAGCAGCCCCAGAGGCCTCAGACATCCCAGTCCAGCCCAGAGAGAGACCCCAGAGGCCCCAGAGACCCTAACTGTCTGGCACCTTTTCCCGAAGAAGAACGGGCTGAAGCTAACCGGGCCAGAGTGCAGAGAAGAGCATCTCACATCTGGAATTTTACAGCATCTGCCCTGGTCAACAGACCACACACATTCATTGCTGTGAATTTACTCACAAGACAAAAAATCGTGAACTCAGTGATCGCTGAGGTCGGTTTACTGATCCGTGACGCACAATATCTTCAGTATTTTTGCTCCCTCATCCTGAGTGCATTAACTTTTTATGTTCACATCTGTTGGCTAATGACTCCTGGTGGTCACCACAGCTCCGAGCATCACATCTGAGGTCAAAGGAACAAAAGGAGTTCACGCAGGCCGTCTGACCCTTTCATCGGAAAGGGAAAAGCCCTGCACGGCATCCCCTGAAGGCGCACAGTCCAGAATTCCGTTACACGACTACTCGGCAGGAAGAAAGATGGGAAAAGCAGATGTGTAACTTCCAGTGCTTACGGCAGAGGCGAGGAACGGACACAGTGGGCCAGACAGCAGTGTCTGCTGGGCCTCGACTGAAGTGCGCACACAGCCTCGTCACACCCAGGTTAAGCAGAACACACTCGTCTCCCTCTGCGAAGACACCCCTCTCCCATGCAGTCACTGAATGGAGCAGGATCACTGGGTGACTTTGTCTGCTCTCGTCTGACTGTTCACATGGCTGAAGGATCACTGTCTCTAAACCATTCCCTTCCCACACGTGAAGGAGGAGGAGCTGAGTGACCTCAGTAACGCCACCATTAAGAAAAGGGGACGAGGGGGAGCGCCCAAGGGTTGGCAGTCGTCAGCTCTCACAGGACAGAGCCTGTAGTGCCTCTGCAGGCTGGTCTGTGTGCTTCAGGTCAACTGGGCGTAGCCGCAGCTAAAAACCATTCCTGGGAATCGGCTTTAGGCCTGGAGTGTCTCAGCTCTTAGCAGTGACCTCTGAACCCTCATAGTGGACTTGAGGCACTTCTAACACTAGCCCTAGGTGAGGGGGTTCTGCCTTTCGTTCCTAAAACAATTCCCAGTCGCAGGGCTGAAGGCAGACGCCCCTCCACCACACTGTTTCCCACCCTTTCTGGTCTCTAGCTGGGGAGCAGATTTGAGTCACCCCCCCTTCTGTGGGCCCCTACTGGAGAGCCGTGAGAAGTGGCCAGCACGGGCCAGTATTCCACAGCTCTCCCAGCATTCCTCCCGATGTGGCCGGTCTGCAGCTGGCGAGCCTTCCACAGACAGCGGGCATGGCCAGATCGAATGCTTTGCTCTCGTGTTATAACTCGCCTCCTCGTTTTCCTCCATGAGATCTGGAGCTGGGCTGGGCGAGGTGGACAGAGCTGGTCGACGCTGCCCCCGCCTCTCCTGACCCTTCCCCCACGGCCCCCAACTTGCGGCCATCACTGTTGGCCTTGTGGCTGCCAGCCGGCTGCTGTGCATCCAGGCTTCCGGTCTGCACTGAAGGCACAACGAAGGGAAAGGAGAAGGGAGCCAGCCGCCTGTGCCATCGTCAGGGACACAGAGCCGGAACTCAGCAGACGCCCCTCGTGGCCACTGGCAAGGAAGGATGGGGTTGGCGCGTCCGGCTCCAAAAGCTCAGGGTTGTTTTGCTGGATGCTGGGCACACGGCTGCCCGAGAAGAAAGACAGCAGCAGGACAGTGTGGACAGCAGGGAGGTCAGTAAGAAGACCTGCCACACACCATAAACTTGCAGGAAGCAAAATTAATATTCAGAAGTCATTTGCCTTTTTATACGCCAATAACGAGCTGTCAGAAATAAAACAATCCCATTTACAGTCGCATCAAAAAGAATAAATGCCTAGGAATAAACTGAACTGAGATCAAAGACTTGCATTTTGAAAACAATGAAACACTGAAGAAACAGATTAAATAAAGAAGGTATAAATAAATGGAATGATACGCCATCCTCACAGACCAGAAGAGTTATCATTAAAATGTCTACATTACCCAAAGGGATCCACAGATTCAATGCGATCCCTATCAAAATACCAATGACATTTTTCACAGAACTAGAGCAAATAATCCTAAAATTTACATGGAACCAGAAAAGACTCTGAACAGCCAAAGCAATCTTGAGAAAGAAAAACAAAGTTGGCAGAACCACACTACCTGATATCAAACTGTACTACAAGGCTTTGGTCATCCAAACAGCATGATTCTGGCATAAAAACAGATACACAGACCAATGGAACAGAACAGAGAGCCCAGAAATAAACCCATGCTTATATGGTCAATTAATCTATGGCAAAGGAAGCAAGAACACATAATGAGGTAAAGATAGTCTATTCAGTAAATGGTGCTGGGAAAACTGGACAGACACAGGCAAAAAAAAAAAAGGTGAAGCTAGGTCACTTTCTTACACCATATACAAGAATAAACGCAAAATGCATTAAAGAATTTAAGACCCAAAACCGTAAAACTCCTAGAAGGAAAAACAGACAGCAAACTCTGACTGCTCTCAGTAATGTTTTTGGATGTATCTCCTTGGGCAAGGGAAACAAAAGAATAAACAAATGGGACTACATCAAACTACGAGATTTTGCACAGCAAAGGAAACCACAAAACAGAAAGACAATCTACTAACTAGAGGAAGAGGTGGTACATATATTCACTGGAATATTACTGAACCACAAAAAGAATGAAATCTTGCTGTTTGCAAGAACATGGATGGACGGAGAAGGTATTATGCTCAGTGAAATAAGTTGGAAAGAGAAAGGCAAATACCATATCTCACTCACATGTGAAATCTAAAATACAAAACAAAACTGAAACGCATCCACAGATAAAGAGAGCTAACGGTTGCCGGGGGGCGGGGCGGGGGTGCGTGCGGGGGACAGGGAGTAAAGGGAGAAGGGGATTGAGAAGTACAAACTGCCAGGTACAACATAAGCCACAGGGACGGAATGCTGTGAACAGAGTCAATAACAGTGTAACTATGTACAGTGACACATGGTTACTAAGCAGACTGTGGTGACCACTTTGTAAGGTAGACAAAAGTTGAATCAGTACATTGTAAACTGGAAATACTACTGTATGTCAACTATAATAAAAAATAAATTTTGAAAAAACTACAGGAATACAAAATGCCAACAGCCCGAGGACGGGCTGCAGGGACACAGGGCTCGGCAGAGCCACGTGGGGAACGCGAAGGTCTGGGTCAGCTGCGGGCTCAGGCCGGCAGCCTTCACAGGCTCCTCAGCCTTCCAGCTGCATTACAAGGGTCTCTGGTCCAGAACAGAAAAGGAGGGGTCGCCCTGCAGCCCCTCAGAGCTCTGCCCTGGTCTCGCAGCTCCCCAAGAATTTCATTTTGTTCTGGGCATCACCCTGAGCAGGACCAAAACACTGGACCGCTCGGGAGGGCGGCACAGTAAGAACTTGGGGAGCTTGTCCCCGAGGACTGGCGGTGGGACTGAGGTGGTGGTCCCTGGAGGAGAAAGCACTCAGAGGCCAGCGTCTAAAGGGACATGGCAGCCAGCGGGCACCCACCACGCCTTTGCATAAATGCAGCCAGCAGGGAGATGGCTGCTGAGGGCAGACAGCTCCGTGTAACAGGCAGGGGGCTGGGTGGTGGGGCTTCCCTGCAGCGGGTCTCCCAGCAGGGGCTGCGGGGTGGGCTCAGAAGCTCCGCCCAGACCCGAAGTTCTATAGTTGCGAGACCTAAAGGTTCTCAGAAGATCCTAACAGCAATCACGCCACTCCCCAAAACCCGCTCACGGTGCCCTGCAGCCTACGGCGCTTCCTCACGGCCACCAGCTCACACTTCCTGTGAGGCACACACAGCTGGAGTCACGAGTCCACCCTACAGAAGGGGACACTGAAGCCTCAAGTCGTATGGCTGGGGGTGGCAGAGGCCGAAGCTCGGGCCTCTTGCCTCGCAACCCGCCCGGCCCTGCGCAGCTGTCCAGGGCGAAGCATGCGACACAAAGCTGGGGGGAGGGTCCCACAGCCCAGGTTCCCAGCCCAGCACCACTTCCTGTGTGACCCTGTGAAACCGTCATCACCTCGTTGGGTATGTGTTTTCTCGTCCCTATGAGAGGAAGGAGGTGTGAGGACTGGCGAGGTCACACTATGACAGCTCCCCTGGACCAGCTCTGAGAAATCTCAGCTCCTTCGCCTTTAGGCAAACGACGTTTACATGGAAATGTATTGCGAATCATCAGAGGTCGGTCCAGAAGAGCATTTCTTGGTAGAGTGAAGAAACTCCAACCCCCACCGCTTTTAGGTGAAGCCAGGACAGGGTGGACACGAGCCTGAGCACAAAGAGGCCTGGAGGGTCCGCGTCCAGGCTGAGGACCCCTGTGGACGCTGAGGCGGGCAGAGAGCCCCCTGCCTGGCTCCCGAGGCCCCTGAGCTAAGGCTGGTCCTCGCCTGAGCCCATCAAACACAGCGTCCCCCGACCCTGCTGAGGCCCAAACCTGACTCGACCCCGTCACCAGATGAGGGTGCTTCCACCCGACGGCGACACAATGACACCTGACATCTGCAGGTGGCCGCTTCCCCAAGCATTCCCCTGCGTCGCAGCTAGCGACACCATGGCCCAGGTCACAACCCCTGTACGAGGTAACACAGCCGGTCTCCTCTGCCCCGGGCCCAGGTTCCAGCCGTCCTGGCCCAGGCATCCAGGAGCAAAGTCCCAGCCTTCCAGCTCGAAGCCACTGGACGACGTTCCTGAGGCTGTTTCCTCACCCATGAAGTAGGAGGTCACACCTCCTCTGGAGGGGCGGGGGGGCCCACAGGCATGAGACGCGAGAGTCCCTGAGGTCGTTTCCAGGGCGGTCAAGGCAGCTGGACTGACCGCCTCCTCCCGGCTCCGGCGGTGGTCCGGGGCCCTGCCAGGAGACGCGGGTCGGGAGGTCGCGGCGGCAGCTTACCTGGTGAGGGCCGCAGCCCCTCCACGAGGCCCTCGGTCGCCGTCTCCTCCACCGCGTGGTAGCGGCTGTGTGGCCGGCCGCGTACCTGTGGGGCAAGCAGCGCTGCCTCCCGCTCCGCAGCCAGGTCCAGGCCCTGCTGTGCCAGATGCGCCCGCAGCTGCCGGATCTCGAACTGCAAGAGGAGGGGACCGAGGGTGGGGTTCGCGTCTGGGCGCTGTGCTGGGGGCGGACGGGCTCCCCGAACATTGACCACAAGCACCTCCGCCAGGTAACAGTGTGTCCCGTCTCGCCTGGGGCCCCTCATGAGGCTGTGCTTTGGGGGAGGCCTTGGAGACCGGGTTTGAATCCAGTTCTCTATCTAGGCCAAGTGGTGCTTGTCAGTGAAGCTCCAGCAGACGTTTGCCGTGATGACCGGCAGGGACCATGCGGGGCGGTCGCCAGCCGGTGTCCTGCACCAGGTGCTCCCTGGGCGCCCCCTGGCCCATCCGTCCCCCAGTGACAGCCATGGGCCTCGTCCGGGAGGAGTCCCGAGAGCTGTGCACGCCCTGGGAGGATGGCCCTGGCCCCGCCTGTCCCAGCTGTAACGCAGGGCTCCCCACACGGAGCCTGGGGAGTGCTCTGGTGCTTCACAAAGGCCGTGGGGAAAGCTGCCCACCGTTGCCAGGCTGGCTTAGTGTTTTTGTGAGACAGCTTCCAGAGGCCTCTTGGGTTCGTGGCTGGGCTGGCCATTCGCCCTCGGGGGCACTTCCCCACGCCCAGGCGGAAGCAAAGTTTGACTCTGACACTGAAGGGCCCCGTAGGCTCAGCGGGAAGGAGAGCCGTCGCCACCGCCCAGTGTCCAGGGCACACAGTGCAGGCTTCTTACCCCCTCCCGCTCCTCCCTCCCCCACCCCTCCAACTTCCCACCGGACAGCAGCACGGGTTGGTCGCAGGAGTTGTAAACCCCAGCTGGCTAAAGCCACCCTTCACTGCACCCCCGAACCTGCTCCTCGGCGCTTCCCTCTCGTTTTAGCTGGACCCAAACCTGTGATCGCCTCCTAGCTCCTTGTTTCCTGCACCCCCATCAGACCTGCCCCAGTCCAGCCCCACCTGCGAACGCCAGGCCCCAGTTCTCGCCTGGACCCCTGCAGCCCCTACAGCCCGGAGCCGGCCTTCTCCCAGAGGAGCCCAGAGTCTCGGGTCGCCCCCTTGTCCACGCACCTTGGGTGGGAGAAAACCGCAGTCCCTGACCCTGGGCTTAGAGAGCTGCTTCCCTGACACCCCCCTCCCACCCTTTCTCCCCCTTCAGTGCCCCCGCGGCGGGCCTCGGGGTTCCTTATACACGTCAAGCCATCGAGCCCTGTTTCGCCTGCACCCTCCGCCCGGCCTGAGGCAGCCACCCAGGGACATCGACCTGTTTGAATTCTCTGCGTTGCCCTTCAGACTTCCTGACGTTGCTCACTATGTTAACGTTTTGGTTTTCTCTTGACAGTGAAACACGGTTAAAGCATTTGCCAACGCCGGGGGGGCTGGGCAGCAAACTGGCACCCGGGCAAATTCCCAGTATTGGTGTCCACAGGTTTAGTCCCTGGGACCGCCGTTTTTCAGAGGACTGACTCATCAGCCTGCTGCCTGGGGACACACCTCTGGCTGCCCCTGTGCTAAAAGCAGGACAGGAGACCGGGCAGAGGGCCCGCCTGGGCAGAAAGGCCTGCACGCGATCCTCGTTTTCGGGCCTGCGCCTCTCCCCAGGCCCCAGCCAAACCTAGTGCCCCCGGTTGTTTGTCCCGAGGAGAAGCATCGGGCTCTCGCAGGGTGGGGGACTGGGCCGTTGGCCGTGCCCAGACGTTTAGCCGGCCCCTTCCCCGAGGTCGGCTTCGCACTTACCCCTTCCCTCCCAGATTAGGGGTTAGCCCTTCCTCACCGTCCTCTGCAGCCTGTTTCGTGACAAATTCTCCACCCAACTAGATCCATTAGAACTTTCTCATCCACTCTCCATCTTCCCCAAATCCACTGAAATTTCTCTGCTCCGGGAAACAGGTCTGAAAGAGACAGTTTTCTTAACTCTTACGTGTTTCTTTCTTTGCTATCACTGCAGCGGAACTCGGAGAAGCAGGCGGCATTTCTTTAAAGGCCTGAGCTGCAGCATATGCTAACCTCAGAGCTGTAAACACTCCCACCAGGCCGATTTCAAAGGACTGACACGGTGCCACGCAGAACTGGGCCGAACTGTGCACGGCTGGCCCTCACGCCGGGCGCACCAGAGCCGCCTTCGCCCCCCGCACAGCGCCACTCTGTCAGGGCAGGAGCCTGTCTGTTTTGTGGCCTGGCGCACAGGACGCACTCGAGACATGCTGCGGAAGAAACGGCCCGGCTCTGCAGCTTCTGTCCCCCCTGCAGCCACAGACAGCGCCGAGCCCACCCTCTGCGCTCACCCTCGGCCAGGACCCTGGCCCTCGAGGCCTGGTTCCGCGGCTGGGGTACCGCAGGGCGGCCCGTGCAGGGTAAAGGGCTCGAGCCACCCGCTGACAGCAAGGTCTCACAGGTCACACGGGACCCGGGAAGCAACCCTCTGAGCTCTGCGGGGCTGGGGGCCCCTCCTACCCGGGCTGATCTGAACTTCCCTCCCGTGGGTGTACCCGGCCTGCTTCTCCATGGCTGCTCAACGGGGCCGGCAGGCCCAGGCCACTCTGAACAGATGCATTATTAATAACCTGTAATTGATACAGAGCTGCCCATAAGTGTCCCACTGGAATTCAGGCCAGACAGCCAGAGGCCAGGGCTCGCCAAGCCCCAAGCCTACACGCGCACACACAGGCACATACACTAGTGTGTGACCAGCACCCCCACCCCCCCCCGCCATGTGACAGTTCTCCACTCGGTCACCCACTCACTCACTATGGAGCCAGGTAAAGCATGGTGAGGGCTATGCTAAAATTCTGCTCCATGTTTTGGAGTGAATGTACCTCTCCCAGCTTGGAAGTGACTCGTGGGTGGCCCCAGTGACGGGGGCCGTATGCAGCACTGCAGGGGACAAATCTCCTGAAACACGCGAGCGTCGGCTCCCGGTGGCACCACTGGCAGAAGAGGCATGGTGTGTTCAAGAGCCAGAGGACTGGAAGTAGGGGGAGGGGCAGTCGGCTCGGGCCTCGCCAGACTCAAGGGAAGCCAGGGTCCCCCTGCAGCCACGGGAAGATGTTTCAAGGGCTTCGGCCTTTATTCAAAGAGCAACGAGCAGCCCCTGGAACCTTGTGGACGGAAGGGCGGAGTGGCGGAGGTGCTGGCGGCACTCTGAAAGGGCGGTGCTGACAGCAGAGTGGACAGTGGGGTGCCCGGGGGTGGGCGGCCATAAAGACCAGACTTGGGACTAGGGTGGAGACAGTGGAGAGAGAGAGTTTATTTAGGGGGTGAGCGTGTCTGCGCGGGCACGGACTGGGGCGGGGGTGAGAGGTGAGGGAGAGGGCTACTTGCTTTGGGGACGTATTAGGACAGGCTTTACACCGAGAGGGTGCGGGTGGCTGGATACCTTGGCCCCTGCCGGGACCTGAAGGTGGGCCACATCACTGTCAGCACTCGTCACTGGCTGTCAGGAGGTTCTAGCTGCGACTCTCAGAGCCTCGCTCCAGACTCCCCTATACTGAACATGGCCACATGTGCTTCCATAGGGGACTGAAGGGCTGTCTGGGGGTCCTAGGAGATCATGCCCTCATTAGTCAGATGGGTGAACTGAGGCCCTAAGGTAGGAAAGAGGCTTCTGTGCTGGGGGACGGGGTGGGGGTGGGGTAGGCAAGAAACGCATAGCACATCAGAAGCAAAGTTGGGCCCAGAACCCAGGCCTCAGGCTTCCACCCCACGGGCCCTATGTCACAGAACCGGAACCTTGTGGGTGAGATGGCGGTGACAGCTCAAACAGAATGCCAGGTTGCTTGACAGAAGCAGGGCTTGGAAAGAGCAGGCGGCCCCCACCCGGGAACAAAGCAGGGGCTGGAGCCTGAGCCCTGGCCTGTCGCCGCCCCGCATTCCGACTGTGGGTCAGGCTCCTTCCTGTCTGGGCCTCGGTATCACTGTGTGCTCAGGAAGGCTCATGGCCCCGCTGACTTCTGAGTCGATGGCCAGCTGCGTGCTGGCCCTGGGGCCCTAGCTGGGAGGCAACAAAGTGCAAGTCGCAGTGAATTCTGGGGCTGGACTGAGGGCCACCCCTGCTCCCCACTGAAACGCCGCAGCAGGAGGGCTGCGTCTGCAGAGAAGGGTAACACTCCAGAACCTCTCAAACGCACCATCGACACGTGCAGCACACGAGAAGAATTACTAGTTGTGAAAATGAACAGGAAAAAGTGATCAAGTACCAAAACGAAGCGCTTAACAGAAGCCGCCCTATGTAAAAATCTGAGCGAACAGACAGGACTTCACAATAACTATGACTAACGTGTTAAAGAAATAGCGGGGACAATGCATAAAGTGGACGCAGCCTTTCGCTGGAGAAAGAGAACCTGAAGGAATCCAGTGAACCCTTCAGAACCTCGGTATAGACACTGGACTGGGGGGCAGCTGCACGGGTTCAACAAGAGACCGGAAACGGCAGAAGCGGGGATGCTGAATTTGAGTATATTAAAAAAACATAAAAAAACAAAAAACTATTAAAAAAACATAAAAACTCACATCCAGAAAAAAAAAAAAAGGAGGAGGAGGAGGATACGGGACAGAATAAGGTGTAAGAGATGAGCTGGGATCGAAAGCGGACCATCGGCAGCCCGACCTTGAAAATGAAAGATGGGACAGAAGCGATGAGGAATCATGGCCAATAACTTTCCAAATCTAATGAAAAACATCAACCCACAAATTCAAGAGACGTAGAGAAGCCCACGCGGGATGGCGAGGAAGATCCCGCAGAGACTCCCGGCAGCCAGACCACAGAGAACGGAGGGCCGTCCGCTGCCCGAGGCTCTGCCAGGCTCGCGAGGCCCGGCCCTCTGGAAGGGAAGTTGCCTGGTGCCTTCGATGACAAAATGAAGCACGTTTCCCACTGGCGAACTGGCTCATTGTGGGGAAAGGCCATCCTGTGACTTGGGAAGGAAGAAAGCACAGTCACCGCCCTCCCTAATGCACACCATTAGCTAAGCGCGTCCAGTGAGGGAGCCTGGCCACACCCGCCAGATGCCCGGGGAAGCCCATGGGCCCGGGCGTGGCCGGCCCGAGGCGGTGGGGCACACCCCGAGCATCTCAGTCCTTCCTCGGCTGGTCTGTGGAGAGCGCTTCAGGGCCTTGGCCTCATCAGTGCACGCTCGGGCCAGAAGCTCGACGGCATCTAATGCGACAGCAACGGCTCTGCCACCCAGAGCGCTGTCTGCACGGACGGCCCTGCCGTGACCCCATCTGCTGCTGGGACAGCACCCAGCGTTTCCTTCCATTAGCTTCGCCATTGCTGGGAACAATAAAAACCAGGAGACAGTTGCAAACTAATGACTTAGGAGCAGGGTGGAGCTGAATCTGACCCTGGCTCCTTTCCGTCCACTGTGATAGCGACCATAAACTTAAATTATGGCAAAAGAATAACAGAAGTTATTCCTCTGAAGGCTAAATAGGCTCGTCACGAAAGCTGTTGACTGTTTTACAAAGCACTTCCATGTTTGGGAAAAAAACACTTCATCTACGATCACGCCACCCTGAACAAGCCCGATCCCGTCTGATCTCGGAAGCCAAGCAGGGTCGGGCCCGGTTAGTACTTGGATGGGAGACCACCTGGGAAGACCAGGCGCTGTAGGCGTAAAAAATAAAAAATAAGGGATCGTGAGCTGACAAGGTCCTTGCAGTCTGTGAGCTCAACCAAGGGTTGCCTCACCCAAAAACAAACAAAAAACGCACTTCACGTCCCGCAGTGGAGATCTCAAATAACCCAGGCCAGAAAGGCTACTGTGCTGAGCTGGGGGCTGTGGCCTCTGTTGGAAAAGGGGGTGCTCTGGAATGGGCAACAGGCTCCCTGACAAGCGGGCTGTGACCCCTGTGCCACAGAGGCTGGCGTGGGTGGAGGGAGAGGAACAGGACCCCCACCTGCCCCCACCAGAGAGGCTCATAGCTTGGGGTCAAGATGACCACCTTGTTGCCTCAGGAAGCAGGCCGGGAGGCTGGCACTCGTCCAGGGACGGTCGACAAGTGTGACTGTGTCTCTTGCTATATGGGAAGGGGAGAGGGCAGGGACTGTCGTGAGCCCCGCGGCCTCGTTCCATGGATCAGGTAATGGTGCAGGTGACGGTTTTCTTCTTGGTCACACAGGGCGCTGCTGTTAGCATCTAGTACCTCAGCTGTGACTGTGCAGCTTTGTCCCACCTATGAAACGGGGGCAGAAGCAATACCCCCATTTCAGGCCCTGCCAACAAAAACCTGCGCACAGATCTCTACCCCTTTCCACCTCCTGGCTGAAGGGGGACACGCCAAGCACTTGGAAACGGCAGAAGCCACAGAGCACGAGGAGCCGGGAGGCCAGAGCGACCACGTGGAGCGGGTCCCCTCGCCTGCCACCCCCCGCCATCCACACTGGGCTGAGACGGAACGACACGCACTCTTCTACGTCAGGCCACTGAGATCTCTGTGTTTGCTGGATGATGCCACTCGCGTTGCTCACAGAACAGTGACTTGCACAGGTGGCCCATCCCTGGGGGAGGGAGGTGGGCCCCGAGGCCCCGGGCTCCAGCCCCAGCCCGCCCTGGCGATGCACAGCACACTGGGCAAGCAGCGGCCTCTCTCGGCCTCGGCCACTCACGTTGCTCACCGAACAGTGACTTGCACAGGTGGCCCATCCCTGGGGGAGGGAGGTGGGCCCCGAGGCCCCGGGCTCCAGCCCCAGCCCCAGCCCGCCCTGGCGATGCACAGCACACTGGGCAAGCAGCGGCCTCTCTCGGCCTCGGTCTGTCCACCGCTACAGGGGTTAATAACGCCAAGCCTGCCAACCTCTGCCGTCCGAGTTGAAAGAGTGAGCGTAGGTGACGGTGTGTGTGTCAGTGGCCACCAACACAGTGTTTTCACTCTCTCCACGCTGGCCAAGGGACTCGAGTGAGACAGACTTCACGTACATATAGGTGTGTGTAGACACAGGTAGACCGACGTCGCTCAGCGGAAGCCGCTCCTCATCACCCTCGTGATGCCAGCCTTGTCTCCCCCATCTTCCCAGGAGGACCTGAGGCCCAGAGCTTAGGGGGAGAGCGCTGGCTGCTGGTGGAGCTGAGGGTGGGGATGCAATCCTGCCAGCTGGACCCCCGTGGAAGGAGCCCCCTCCCATCCCGCCGGGCTGCACGCACGGGACTCTGTCAGGGACCATGCCCAAGGTCCACGGTCACCCCTGGGGACTCGGAAGGTCCCACTGGCCTTCTGGCAGGGTGGGCCCTGAGTCGGCCTAGATTAAGCCCCGGGCCCAGGGCCCCCAGGGAGAACGCTGCTGAGGGAGGGCTGCAGTGCCCTCTGTCCCTCCCACACGGCCGACAGGGAAGAGAAACAAGCCCCAACCGTGGGCCAGGTGCCACTGGCATTGTGGGCCGACGGCTGCTGCAAGGCTTCCAGGGCAAAGAGCAGTTACAGTGGGGACTTCAGAGCATGTTTCAGGACTGGAGCTAGAGGCTGGGCCCAGACGCACGTGAAACCTCAGAGGTCATCTCGCGAGAGGAGGTGGAAGAATCTGCCATCGCACGGACTCAGCCGCTGCGTCTAAAACAGCTCTGACTTCTAGCACAGCCAGGACAGAGACGAAAGTCCCCACCCTCTGCAGGGCACTAACCAGCACCCGCCTCTGGAACCGTCGGTGCACCAGTGAGATTCATGCCTCAGAAGGTTCTGGCTGGGATCCAGGCAGACAGTGAGCTAAAAGTGCGAGGGAAGGAGCTCCCAGCTGAAGGGCTGTGGAAGGCGGGGGCCTGAGGCCGGCCCCTCTTCCATCGCTGGACTGTGCCGTCTTGGATGCCGGCTGCAGGCCAGCCAGGGCTCAGGAATGGTCGGACGGCCGACAGCGCCCTCCTCCCCACGGGCCCCGTGAAGCTCACCTTTCCAGAAGGAATCTAAGGATGAGGTGAGCCTGGGGCTCAAAAGAGATGATGAGAAGGAGGGAAGCACCGGGTCCTGTGCCCGTCAGACCAGAGGCCAGTCTGGTCCAGGGACATGCACTGGAACGAGCCATCTGAGACCAAGTCTCCCCCTCCCGGGACCTCAGACTCTGCCACCCACCAAAGCCAGGATGAGCGCAATGCCCTCCAAGGGCCTTCCGCTGGTAACATGAGGCGCTTCTGGGGCATCTGGGGCGTGGCCTGTGTTCGTGAGCAGCCATGTGGCAAAGACGACAGAAGGCACGAGATACTGATGCGTGAGCCTGGCAAACCACGTCGCCCAAGTCTCCAGGGTCACAGGACGAAGCGATTTCAGCTTTCTTAGAAAGCTGAGTGAATAAGAGTATCTTTACGGTGGACAGATGTGACAAACCGACCTCAGCCAGGTGATCGAGGCCCAGATCAACAGTGACGCCACGCCGACACTGTGCGCCTGGGTGTGACTGATGAGAAGGGCGTCCCACCTGCGGGCTCCCTCCCCCAGCCCCGACTGCACCCTAACCACGAGAATGTCAGAGAAACCCCGGCAGAGGAGCAGCCTGCGAACACCCCCCAGGGTCATCGGGAACAGGGGTGGGCTGAGGACCTGCAGGATCGAGAGGAGCCTAAGGGGACGTGGAAGCCGAACGGGACGTGGCATCCTGGGTGGGACCGAGGACAGATACAGGACACAGGTGAACACGAGGGAACCCTGAACAAGGCACGGTTCAGGGATAACACAGCGACCTCCGCTCACTGTGACAGTAGCCACGCCAGCGAAGGCGTCTTCACGATCTTTCTATCCACCTAAAACCGTCCTGAAATACAGTTGATTTTTAGAGAGAGCTAAGAGGAGGGAAGTGTCGGCAAATATTCACACGGACACGTCCCAGGGGGAGAGCGCGGCGGACGCGGAGGGGGCGGTCCTCGTCCCTGAGCTCCTACACACGCCACTGGAGACCCACGGCACAGGGCCTGAGGCTGGGGGCCAGGCCGACCATCCGGAGCATCGGTGCCACGCACGCGGCAGCCCAGGGGCAAGGGACCTGGCCGCCACGTGCGCTCCACCCCCCACACACACGTTCCCACCTGCTTGGGGGTGCATCCCCTCTGTGGTCCCGCCCCACATGCCTGGCAGCAGAACGTCCCCCGCACACAAGGCGCCGTCCACAGAGCAGCGCCCTGGCTGCAGGGCCACGCCAGTCACCTCCCCTGAGCCCCTACAGAAGACCCTGGCCCCGGTCGCATCTCACAGATGAAGGAACTGAGGGCGGACGAGGGGCGTGACTTGGCTGGGGCCCTGGGCATGGAGCAGGGCACCGGGCCTCGAGCCCCGGACAGGCCGTCTTCCTGGCCCAGCTGCCTGGCCCGCTGGACTGCCCAGCTCGGCCGCGCAGGGCCCGTCACCTGTCTGCGTCTTTGGCAGTTCCTGGAGGGCTCAGGGCACAGCCGGCACCTGATGGACTGTCTGGAGAGCCTGGACGGTGACGGGCCCGGCAGCCGCCGCGGACAGAATTCAACCCCTGCTTCAGAGACCACCGTACCAAGAAGACTCACGACCTGAGCTGGCGCCTTGGCTGGTTCAGGCTGGAGGGCTGACCTGTCGCCAGGCTGCAGTGAGAGAACCTTGGCCTGGGAGTCGGGGCGGGGTCAGGCCCGGCCGGATGAGGCACGAGGGGCCTGAGAGACGCCTTCCCCCTTGAGGCCTCGATTCCCCTTGCCTCTCTCAGGGGCTGGACGCGCTCTCTGACCTCGTTAGGCACCACCAGTTTCCTCAGCCCCGGACAGAAGTGGACAGAACCAGAGTTGTCGCGCCTTACCCCTTGTTCCTGGCAGATCTGCGTCAGCCTCTCCAGCTGCTCGTCTTGGATGACCTTGGCCTTCTCGTACTGCTGGATGGCCATTTCCATCTCCACCTTCACAGGCAGGACGTACGCTGGAAGACAAGACAGCCCCGTGAAGGCCCGGGCGGTGCACGGCTCGGCCTGGGGAGGGTCCGGCCCCGGCATTCAGCCAGCAGCAGGTCAGGCCCAGGCACAGCTCCTGGACGGTCTGGGGGCAGGGGTCGGGGGACGTCCAGGTGCCTGAGAGCATCCAGAAAGGGCGTGAGGGCTGGACCCCTCCCCTGCAGTGAGGACCTCCGTCTCCCTCCCTGCCCGGTGACGGCCCTAAGTCTTGGCTGTGTGCGTGGAAAAGGACGGCGTCTTCCAGTCTTGCTGCAGCCACGAGACCACGCTCTGGACACTGGGACGCAAGGGCAGGCGTGGGCGGAAGCTTCGGGAGCCTTCCTCAGAAGGCGGCCAGGGCTGGGGAGGGCGCGGAAGCTCGCTGCCCACGGGAGGAGGGTTGCGGTGCCACTGTGGGAAAAAGGCTGGCAGTTTTTCAAAACGCTAGACAAAGAGTGACCACACGGCCCAGCAAGTCCACAGGCACCTAGAGGAAACAGAACCGCGTCCACAGAAAAACCTGGGCCTGCACGTTCACAGCAGCCCCTGTGGAAACCACCTCAACGCCCGTCCACTGACAACCAACAGAACGTGGCGTGTCTACGCAACGCATACCATTCCGCCGTCGCAGGCAGTAAAGTGCCGACACACGACACGACACGAGCGACCCTGGAAGCCTCGTGCCTGCCGAGGGAGCCAGACAGCGACCGCAGGCCACGAGGCAGCGCCCACAGGGAACGGCGGGAGTTGCCAACCTCTCAAGACACAGAGCACACTGGCGGCGGCCCGGGGCTGAGCAGGCCGTGGGGGGCAACGGCTCACGGGGAGGGCCTTTTCCTTCGGAACGCGATAAATGCTGTAAACTCGGATGCTGCTGACGTTCGCACAACTACACGAACGTACTGAAGCCACGGAACTGCACTTCGAATGGGTGAGTTTTGCGGTACGTGAACCACGTCTGAAGACGTTCAGAACGAAGCGGCAGCTGGGCTTTCCTGTTGCCTCCGTGTCTCCTTCCTTCCTTCTTCTTTCTGGCCCCAGTGAGGACGTGACGGCTGGCTCTGGAGCCACCTTCTAGAACTGCGGGGTGACTCTGCTGAGCAGGCTTTGTGCCACAGAGCAACGGCAGGGGTCTGGGACCCTGACCGCGGAGTGCCGCATGGGCCTGGACCGTCGCCGGCAGACTGGCGCGGGAGAGAAGCCGCCTCCGCGGTGCTACAACTCGCACACACACCGGGGGCGGAGAAGCGACTCTGCCCCGCAGGCTGCACGCTCTCCCGGCCAGCGAGGCCCCGTCCCCACCCCTGGGAAGTCCTCTGGGCTCGTCGGAAGCCTTGGTACCAACTCCTGCCCCGACCCCGGCCTCTGCCCTCCACTCTGCTCTCACCTCCCAGAACCCGCCTCCGGGCCCGGCAGAAACCGCGGGCACGCACACCTCCCGCAGTGCGCCTCTCCCAGGCTCTGTGTCCCCCCGCGGCCCCTCAACCCCCAGCCGCCCGACTGCCACCTGTGCCCTGGCTGCTGCACGGATCGTGAAGTGACGAGAAATCGGGACTTTTCTGTTCGCTGCCAAATCTGAGGGCAGCCCATGTGTCCCCAAGACCCGTCTCTAGGCCCCACGCAGCCACTGCCTCCTCGGGTCTGAGCTGCAGTCAGCTCACGCCCAGGGCAGAGCGGCGGGTTAGCGCCCTCGCTTCCCGCAGTGCAGGCCCAGCGGGAGGCTGGCGTGCCGGGAGCAGGGGCCGCTGGGACGAGCTCCACGCAGGACTGTCCAGGCCCACTGAGCGGGGTGTGCAGCTGCCCGCAGCTGCCCAGCTGCAGAAGTAGGCGAGGAGGCGTGGTTTCTGCCCAGCGGGGTGGGCCCGCTGGAGGACAGGGCGCAGGACAGGGCCCTGCACAGATAGGCCTGTGCAACAGCTGGGCGGGCACTGGTGGCCTCTGGGGTCCCAGCTCCACCTCTGGCTCAGAGCCTGCTTTGCTGTATAACCATCAACCTTCTTGGTCTCAGTTTCTTCATCTGTCCGGTGAGAGGGATGGACTGGATGACCTCCCAGAGAATTCTGGCTTGGGCCTTCCAAAGCTGGGTCCAACCACACCCCCGCGTAAGGAAGGCTCCAGACCAGAGGCTCCCTGACAGCACGCCAAACCCCAGTGTTTACAGGGTGTGACATGAGAGTGGGGACCAGGGGGAGGGTGCCCAGTCCTGGGGATCAGAGACCCCAGAGGCCATCCTTCCTGCCTTGTACCCACTGGGCAAATACTGTTGGGGTGCCCTCATGGCCAGTTTCTGTCCTTTGCAACCAAAATCCAGGGCTGCAGCGACATCGCAGTCTCCGTGCTGCACAGGTGTGCTCGGTGGATCGCAGCGACGGTCTCCCCCAGTGCTTTGGAAACTGCTCCAGAGGCTGCAAGGTCCTTAGCGATGCCGTGGGGGGCCGGGGAGCAGGCAAAGAGGTGGGCTCTGGGCCCCTCACTCCACGTCAAAAACAGCTCTACTTTCTAGTTATTTCAATCCACTTTTCACACAAATAAATATCTGCATAAGATTTTGCAGAAGGGCTTTGCTACTAAAAAAAAAAAAAAAAAACAAACCACAAAATCAAAAAATAAAAACCAAAAATACTTGGGAACCGTCGTCTAAACGACCTCCCTGTCGTGCCTTGCCCCTCCATGGCCCCCTGGCCTCTGGCCTCCTAGGTCCTAAGAGGTGGACCAGCCTGTCCGCGGGTGGCTCTGTACCACCCGGTACCCACACTGTTCCTCGGAGACAAGCTTTCTCGTTTCCTCTGAGGGGCACACTCTGGTCTGTCACCACCTTCCGGAAACGTGAGCCAGCGGCCAAGGCCCAGCTCTCCAGGTGAGACCGGAGCAGCGGGCGGCCTCTGCCCGAGGCAGCACAGGCAACAGAGGGCAGAGCCCTGACAGTGGGTCCCAGGGGCGGGAGCAGCTGTCACTGGAGCTGATGGGAGCTGGAGCTGAAACCAAGCACTGCGCTGACGCTGGCTGTCTGCAGGCTGGCAGGTCTGCAGGACGCCCAGCTCGTTCTTGGTGGACACGGAAAAGAGACAGACCCTGCAGGGAGCAACGCCTTGGCCGGTGACCTGGACGAAGTCAGTGGGACAGGGCAGATGTGCGGCTGGTCTTCCACACGCCAGGCCCTGCCATCAGCTCTCAGGTGAAGGGCCGCCATCCAGGCAAACAGTAAAGTCACATCGGATGAAGACGTGACCTCTGAACACAAGCGTCTGCGTGTGGCGTCTGGGCCGCGTGTGAGCTGTTTCTGAACACCTGTCACTGAAGGAGCAGCCCGAGTCTCCCCCGCCACCTCCGACGCGGCCCGGGCGACCTCTCATCTGCTGTGTCGCAGGGCCTCTCTCCCCTCGGTTGAGAGCTCCGGTTTCCGGAGCAGCCACCTGTCACCCCGCCGGCCCTGCTGACCCCTTTCAGGCCACTCACCATCAATGACCCTCTTCACCCGCCAGATCCGCAGCATGATGATGAGGCTGATGGCGTCCCAGGGGCTCCGGGGCCCGTTGGCCACAGTGGATGCCACCATCGGGGCCACAGACAGGATGATCACCGCCCCGTCAAACACCTGGCAGAGGAGGCGACTTCAGTGCCCTGGGTCGTCCTGAACGTCCCCAACCAGAGACCAGGCCAGGCCAAGGGGCTGCTTCTGGTCCACTCCTCCTCCTGTCCACCCATCGGAGGCCCCCACCCGCTGCTCCTCAGCCTTCCTGAGCTCCTCGGAGCCACGCCCCCAAGCACTCTGCTCCACATTGTGCCCCATCTCAGGACGGGCCCGCAGTCACACTAAAACCCTCACATCAGTTGGGCTGAAGGCAGCACCCTCCTCCTGGGCAGCAGGTGCCCAGAGCCCACCTCCCGTCTCGATCCGCAGGGAGGCAGGGTGAGAGGGAGCGGCGCAGCCTCTGTGGTTCAGCCCTGACCTGCCACCTGCTGCTCCAGCCTGGCCTTGCCTGAGACCTGCACAGGCCCGGCCCTCCGTCTACTCCCAGTTAAAGGGGCTAGAAGTGGGTGGGAGCTGAGGGGGGAGTGGGCAGTGGAGACGCCTTGCGCTGTGTGACAGCCGCACCCCTACCTAGAGCACCCGTCCACCCCCGTTCAGAAGGCAGAGCAGCCGGCTCGCTCTGAGACCCCAGGCTGAGCAGCGCCTCTGCCGTGTTGGCTCAGCTCTCGAACCGTGGGGCCACTTCAGGGCGGACTCACGTGTTTCAAAACATCTGAAAGCTTTGCGAAGGGACCAAGAATAAGCGAGAAGTCTGCAGAACCTCACTGGGAACTAGACGTCCCTTTGCTGGGCACTTTCTCAATCTGCCGCCCACCGCCCTCCGGAGACCCCTGCATCGACCGTGGGGGCAGCGCCCTAGCACCAGCTCCCAGCCCAGGACGGACGGGACGGTGACGGCTCCCGGCATCTGGGGAAGCTGGCTTTGGGGGTGGGCGCTGCTCCTTACCTCTATTTTGTTCTCGATGTAATCCCAGATCCCGAGCACCACAATCCGGAGAACGGTCTGAGGAGAGGAAGCGAGACAGGAAGTTCTGGTCACTGCCCCCGGAACCCAGGAACACGGTCCAGGCCCCCTGGAACGATGCTCAGAGCCGGCCTCCCTCTCCAGGGTCATCTCCTGCACCCATCGCACCATGGACCACTTGCAAACACAAACACGCAAGCCCTTGCTGCTCGGGCCTGGACTTGGCTTGCTGCGGCCTGCCCAAGACTCCCTCCCCCATCTCTTCCTACACAACAACCGGGGCTCGGGCACGGCCACCCAGCTGGACACACTACTTCCCAGACTCCCCTGCGGCCAGCAGTGGCCACGCAACCCCATTCGGGCCACGGCCTGAGCAGAAGCCCCGTGCACAGCTTCTGGGCTGTGCGAGTCAGGGGTCAGGCCCCCTTCCTCCTTTCCTCCCCCAAACCCGAGGCTGTGGGGGGTGGAGCCGGGCTGGGGAGCTGTCTCCCGTGAGGGAGACGGGGTGGCAAGACAGGAGGATGCCAGCCCCACCGGCCACCAGCCACCACGTCAGCGTCGCCTGTGTGCAGAGCCAGGCCTTCTAGGAGGCAGGGTGAAGCCTGCCTGGTGCTGTGCAGTGTGCTCGTTACGGCGACTCGGCCGCTGGGCTGACCAGCACGGCCCTTTCCCCTTTCTCTCCCCTCCCTGTCCTCTGCCCTCGGCTCCGACGTCGCCCCCGTGAAGCTCTCCCACGAGTCCCGGGCTCAGTGCCTCTTCCCTTGGAGCTCCTACGGCCCCTGGAACGTCACCCCCTCTCCAGCACTCCACTGAACCTGTGCTGACTACGTGCCTGACCCCGTGAAGGCTCAGGAGACACTGTCTAACCCCTCTCCTTTGCCCTGGCGCGGGCAGAGGACAGACGCCGTGAGGTTCACGGTGAAGCACGCGTGAATGGCTAACCCTTAACACCCTGGGCAAGTCACTCCAAGGCCGCTGCCCCAGGCAGGGTGTCCTCACCCACAGGGTATTAGAGGGTCCTGTGCGAGCCTGGCGCCCTGCCTGGGACCAAGACGAGTCACTCACAGTCATCCACTGTCAAGGACAGGTCTGAATCCCTCCTGTTAAAGCTGGGGCAGCAGAGGCACACAGACGGACAGTGACTCGCCTAAGGCCACAAAGCGAGTCAGTGGCCAAACTGGCGTTCTCGTCAGACACTGAGGGGACACAGATGCACCCTCAACTCTCAGAGCACAAAGCACATCACCACCCTCGTGCCTGTCTGATGACAGAGCTCACCAGGGACCCCCAGGAGGAGCAGCAGGCAGGAGAGGAGCCCCTCGTGGACCCAAAATCTTGGGGTGGCTGCGGATGCGGGAAAACAAGGCCCTGGCCCAGTGTGGTTTGGCAATGGCCCTCGCTGGGCGCACGGCCCAGCTAACAGCGCCCGGGCTCCCTCAAGACCCAGGGCAGCTCTGGGAGGCCGTGTCAGGGAGGAAGTAGCCCTCACAGCTGCCGTTAAAAGGAGCCTGGGTCCCCTGACCCCTGGCCCTTCTCCCGAGAGGAGCCCCGTCACTGTGAGCAGCACACAGGCCCTCTGGGGGGCGCAGGGTGGGGGGACCTCTCCAAGCCCGCTCGGGTCCTGGGGTCCCGGGCACCTGAGACGCGGAGAAGCCAGCTGCCTCGTCAGGAGAGCCCCAGCCCCTCGGCTCACACAGGGCAGGGTGTGCCGGGCGGGGACTCCCGTCACCCCCCGTTACTGCTGCACCCCACCCTCATGGTCTTCGACAAGGTCCCTAATCCTGGGTGCAGCCATTCTCCCCAGGCCCCCGCCCTCCCCTCTGCCCCTCCCCAGCTGGGTGGGAGCAGGAGCAGGTGTGGGTCTGAGGCTGACGTCCCTCTGCACAGGGGCTCATCTGTTGCAGGTGGCTCGTCTCAGGCAGTGGCAGGAAGGGAATGGCAAGTTAACATCGGGTGATAAATTCTGAAAAGCCAATAAAACCAAAGCAGAGGGACCGAGGGAAGAGCCGCAGCACCTGATTAAACATTCCTGTTGGCAGCCGCAGACACATGGCACATTTTCCAAGGTCTGCATCCAGGGGACATCTGGCCACGGCCCAGGTGTTGGTAGAAGGGAACGGCGGGGAGGGGCAGAGGGGCCAGGGCATGCAGGGCCCTTAAAGGGGTGGCAGGCTGGGAGGGGGCTCTGTCCTGGAGGCCAAGGCACCTTCGGGGCAATGGTCTCAGCGAGCTGCTTGGGACGTTCCCGGGACCCGCCCCTCGGTCTGAGCCTCGGCCCAGGCTCGTCAGCTGACTCCACAGGCCACAGGGGCCGCGGCCGAATGCTCTGCGCCTCCTGCTCCCCACGCAGGGTCCTGGACTGACGCGCCGGGCTCCGCGACCGCATCACAAAGCATTGTCTACCCCACGCCTCCGCCCACATCACCGCTCTCCAGAGTGTCTCCCACTCTGCTCTGGGACCCGGGGCCCGTCCCTTGGGGTGGCGGCCCCCTGCTGCGTGTGCGCGTGTGCGCGTGTGCGCGCGTGCACGTGCACGCCCCTCCCCAGTGTGCTCTGCCTTTCTCCTGTGCTTGCTGACTGCACTGAGAGGCCCCTGGCGTCCGGGGTGGGCTAACGTGGGCCCGTGGCCATGGGGGTAGGGGACATGGGTACCGAGGGGCAGTGGCCAGCTGACTTGGGCCAGCTGCCCGCTCTGTTAGGAAGAATGGGATTTCCACATAAACTCCAGACAGCATAAAGTCCAGTCTTCCCACCCTCCCCAGGACACCTGCTGCAGCAGCCCCCCGAAACGCAGGCCAGGGTGTCACGGTGACAGCTGGGAACTGCTCAGAAGTGTCCCTCGCCCCATGCAAAGGCAGAAGGACGTGCCAGGATCCTGGTGTCCACGCTCGTCAGTCCCATGAGGCTCTCTGCTCCCACCAAAACCCAGTACACAGGAGCTATTCCCTCTGACCTCACAGGAAGCATATGGACGAGGCCTGACCAGCCAGCTAGCGACGGTGAAGGGCACCCACACTCCCCGATCGCCCACTGCAGACACATGTCCCTCTGCTCGCACGGAAGGGGCATAGCTCTCGGCCTAGCCAGACCCCAGACACCTCACAGCACCCAGTCGAGTCCACTGCCCAGCCCTGCAATTACCTTTTCCGCCCGGAGGGAGGCCACGGTGCACCCAGCACCACGGCAACAGTGCCCTCACTGTTCTCCCCACCTCCAGGCCCCGGCTCCTCACTGACCACACGAACGACTGGCTCTCCCACGACGCACAGTCTCGCCTGCACGACGGCATCGCCCACCCTTCACCTGGACACCACCTGCTCATCCTCTGGGACAGCTCGGGGCCACCTGCCGGGGCCCAGCCTCCCTGGTGGGTCACAGCTGCTCCCCACTGCATCTCAAGCACGAAACTCGCCTCCCTGTTTTGCGTTTCCCTCGCTGCAGCCTCGAGGGCGCACGGAAGGCCTGACACCCACAAATGTCTAGACGATAAAGCGTGGTCTCTCCGGAGAGGACCCCAGGACCCAGTCTTGACTCACCTCTGAGAAGAACACGGAGAGGATGGCCAGACTGATCCAGTGAATTACGCCAGCAAACTGGAACGCGCTGGAAACTGAAACACAGTAATGGGGGCCGCTTTCAGGAGCAAGGACTCGAGTGCATCGGTCGAGGGGCTCCCCAGCCTGGGACACAGGGGCTCGTGTGGACGTTTCGATCTGGATGACTCGGGCCAGAGGACTCGCAGGGCGGCTCTAAGTGGCGCATGCGACGGCGGTGAGGGGGACGCCGTCCTCTCCCTGGCCAGCCCCCCACCTCCGCCGGCCGCCGCTCTGAGTCCTAGCTCTGCCCCTCGGCCTGACGGGCTCTGCGTCCTGGGAAAACGGCAGAGGGGCCCACGGGAGGCACCGTGGCTTCTGCGCCCGGATGGGCAGCACGTCAGGTCGAGATGAGCTGCCGCAAGTCCCCACCATGGTTCGTCCCCCGGTGCCCTGCATGCTGGTGGGGCCACGGCAAGCTTACTGCGACCTTTCACCCTGCACAGTGAGAGGAGAGGCGGCAGTGGCAGCCGGTGTCTCAGAAAGCAGGCAGAAGGGAGGACTGGAAGGAGGAGCTGACGGTTGGGGACACCGGCCTCTTGAAAGTGGCACAGTGAGCAGCTGGGGTCTGCTGTGTTTCTCGGTTGTTGCGCTGGCCTTCCAGACACCAGAGTGTCTGCGGGGAAGAGTGGTCGGCCACGGACGGCTGCCACCCACCTGCCAGCGAGCAGCCCTTGGGGTGGACGCATTGGTCTGGAAGGCCCGTTTACACACAGGAGCCACGGCCAGCGCCTTGCCCGGGGAGGGCGCAGTTCGTCAGGTGGTGGGCCCGAAGCAGGGCGCGGGGCTCAAGACAAGGGCCAGGTGGGCTCTGAGGGAGAGCGGGCAGCAGGGAACGCTCCCAGAGGACAGGCCTAAAAGAAATAGCGCAGGGCACCCTAGGGCAGAGGGGCCCACACGGGCTGCAGGGCTGCTGCTGAGAATGCGCCAGCCTGGCCCGGCCTGGCCCAGCACGCAGCTCGAAGTCCCCTGGGGGCCAGAAAAACGCCGGGAGCCGGGAGGGCAGTCTGGCCCTGGGGAGCGGAAAGCAGGCCCCGGAGTGTGCTCGGGGAGGAGAAGGGGTGGTGCACGCTCCCGGTGGGGGCTTCTGGCCCCTGGCATGGGGCGGACATGACCCTTGAAGATGAGCCAGGAACTGCCATGACCCCTTCCATCCCAGCCACATGAATACCAGTGGCAACCGAGAGGCCTAGTCCCACGTGACTCCCAGGTGATTCTGAAAGTATAACCTCTCTCATTATTTCACAAATGAATTCCTGTGCCTTTTTTTACGGTTTGCTTTAAAAGAGCCATAAATCTCATTGTGCGTTTGATGGAATTTAAGATGCCTTTTATGAGCTGCTATTGGATCTCCCAACAAAATCGATCTCCTGGATACTTAATTTTAAGCAACATTCCTGTGTCAGCCAGGTTCTCGGTCCCACTCGACACCTGTCGCAGCCGGAGAACTGAGTGCCCAAGGGAAGGACGGCCTCCGTCACGGTCAGACTCAGAAAAAGCAGCCGCACAGGTGTGCGGGAGGGGAAGCACGCAGCACGGTTTAACTGAAGACAGGCTGAGCATAACCCAGTGCTGGGGACTTTATGCCCAAAGATGTTTTCACTGGAACCAAGGGGCCACCAGCTGCACACAACCCAGCGAGGCTGATCGGACAAAAGTCACTCTATACTCCCATCATTCTTAGAGTGGGGACGCTGGTAGGACTTGGGAGAAACCCTGAATGTGGAGGCTGCAGTTAAAGGGACTGGGGACATTTGAGAAATCAAATCCAAGATGACTGATGGGTTTGGAGTGGCTGGACCTATGGTCCTGGGTGTGGCCAACGGCAGGAACGGAAAGGTCCAGCTTCTGAACCGGGGAAATGTGGGAACCAGGAGCTCTACAGAATGACTCATCACTCGCCCAGAGCCAAAAGTCAGCCCTCCCACCCCAGGGCACCAAACAGGGGTCCGCAAGGGTGGGGGCAGCAGGCGGGCCCTCCGCTGAAGCCAAGCTGCCGTGGAGTCCAGACGAGCCACCGGCCATCACGAACCGTGACCCAGGACGAACAGCACAAGGACCTACGGTGGGAGCACAACTGGCCCCCTGGGCGAGTGGACTGGTGGCCTTTAGTCCCGGCCTCAGGACTTCCCGCCTGGCAAGGCCCTAACTTACCAAAACCCTGATTCCCTTGTCTAGAACATGAATGACTCCGGCCTCGCCCGCCTCACAGGGCTGCTAGGCTCAAACGTACAGAAAAGGGCTTTCTGAACGGTCACGTTACATGTGAGTGACACCGGCCACTTATACTGGACAAAAACACAGGGGATCAAGTTGTCACTGGCTACCGTCGTCAGCTACGACGAGGTGACACACCTCCACACGTGGGAACTCTCATTAAGCTACGGAAAAGTCCGACCTGGAAAATTCCAAACGGAAACAATTTGTATAAAGTGCATACGGGGGTCCCCAACACCTGTATCTCCTTGGTTCTGGACAGTGGAATGTGGGGAGGGGCACGAAAGTGGCCACACTGGGTGGAGAGGGACGAAGTGATGCTGGGGGTGACAGAAGCTGCCAGGAGCCCTCCCTGGCGCGGGCCCCCTGGTGGGCGTGCGCCGCACACCGAACCACGCATGGGCCACGTGCATCCGCCCCGCTACTCACACTGGAGAAGCTTTACGTCGATCAGCAGCTCCAGGGTCAGCAGCGTCACCACCAGCACTACACAGGCCACCAGGAGGCTGTTGACACTGGCACTGAGCAGAAACACCTGCCACGCGGCCGCTCTCTTCCCGCAGCACGGCTGCAGCCAGGCGGACCTGCGGGCACGAAGCGCAGCGGCATGAGCGGGGCCGCCCCTCCAGGGCCCTGCCCTCGACCCCCTCACCACGCACCCCGTCCACGCTCACGGCCTCATGCGGGGGGCCGCGCTGCGTTCAGCCCCTGCCCCGCCCCACACTCCGGTGTCCTCGTCTCTAACGGATGTGGAACCAGCTTGCGGGCAAGGCTGAGGGTCACGGCAGGCAGGGGGCCCGTCTGCGCGGGCCACGAGCACAGAACGGTGCTGAGCAGCAGGCTCCTGCGCCGTCAGAGCCGCACACCGGCTCCGCATCCCGGAGCCCTCAGCTGACCTCCGCACATGCCCAGTAATGGCCCGAACACTTGCCATCACCCCTACCTCCTGTCCCGAGGGAGCAGTCTGCCGAACCCGGTGCCTACCCCCCGAGATCTGAAGGGTGCTGCTGGGGGGGGAGGGCTCTGCTACGGAGGTGCTCCCTTCTCCCCAAAGAGCAGCGTGAATGCCTCAGAGAGGAGATTCTTCCTCCCATGTCATCCAGGGGAGCTTGAAGGGGCCCCCAGCTGCTGGAAGGTGGGGCAAAGCTCTTGGCTCTTCAAGAAATCTGGTAGAAAATGCTTATTCCAAGTTTTTCTGGATGTTTTCTAAAATCCCTGGGAAGAAAGGCCCTGTCCTCAGTTCTGAGGAAATGCAAAGACTGGGGTTCGGTCCCCAGCCTCTAGAACCTGGTCCCAGGAAGGGCTTCGCGGATGAGAACAGCAAGAAGGCATCCCAGGTGGCAAGGAAGGGGCTGATGTGAGCTGCACATGGCCTGAGAGGGTGGGGGTTGGGACAAGGAGACCAGCCAGGCCAGAAGAAGAGGGGGTCTTCGCTGAGGGACACACGGGAGATGGGGGGAGGACAAAGCAGAGTGGGGTCCAGGGTGTGAAGGCCATGGACGAATGCCTTTGTCACTCACTGCAGGTGACTTTCAAAGTCCATTGCACGACCACCTCTCTAGTCTCTCCCAGGCTCACGTGGGCCAATCCACAGCACACGAGAAGCCATAGGGACACCCCTAAACTGATACCACACGGAGCTCCGCAGGGCTGCCACATACAATACGGCATATCCGTTAAACCGAAGATAAACAATGACCGACATTCTAGTATAAGTGTGTCCCAAACCTTCTGTAGAGTACACTTACACTGAAAAATTATCCTGTGTTTACCTGAAACTCACGTGTAACTGGGGGTCCTGGATTCTTTGCCAAATCTAGCAAATCCTAAGCTCAGAGCAGAAGGGTCTGCAGGAGGCCTGGTGAGGGTGGCTGCGGCTTGGCCAGGATGCGTAAGGAACCAGCGACACGGGGCGAGAGGCAGTGTCGGTGAACGCACGGCCACGAGAGCGCCACTAAGGGACGGGGTCTGGGGTGTCTATCCACGGGGGCAGAAAGGAGGACAAGGCGTAAAGCCTTCGCCTCGAGCTCAGAGGGACAGCCGTGCACACCTGGACAGAGGCTCAGAGAACCCAGAGGTTGCTGCCCACTGGTGCCACCCGCGGTACTACAAGACCCTTGGAACTGTAAGATCTCTTCGGCTGTCACTCCTCGGCTGACCTCTCCTGACCCATCTGTGTGCCTCACCTACTCCCCCCTCCTTCTTTCCCACAAGGGCCCTATTTTAATCTTTGGCGCCTCTCGCCCGAGTTCACGAGTTCGCGCCCAGTCTCAGCCACCTCTCGGCGCTGCCTCCCTGTTGCCCCTTAAGCCCTCGCGACCGACTGCCAGGTCACAAGGGAGACCCAAATGCAACTCCGCCTCCTCTCTAAAACCCAGTCCGATTCTCTGTGGCCCCTGAACTGACACCATTTCACCAGAAATTTGAGCTGAGTTTCTCCCCGGTTATTCGCAAGAGGGGCAGCTGTGAAGACGGCTTGCCAGGGATGGTGTCACACGGAGCGGCCAACGTGTTCAGGCGCTGAGGGTCTCCTTAGCCGCGTCCCGAGTGTGCAGCCGGAGACGCGGGCGGCTCTGGGCACCCAGCCACTCGAGCGGGCCGTGGACCCAAGGACCTGGGACAGAGCTAGGGGGAAGCGGCAGCCTTCCTGGCCGACAGGGCTGTCTGGAAACCCTGAGCTGCTAGGAAAATGTCTCGTGAAATTCAAATGACTCAGACGTTCCTAGGAGACCGTTTTAGCAGAAAAGCAGAATTGTCCAGTTTCAAAATATCCCTGAGTGTTAAATGATGACTGAAGGGGCTTAATGGGCCAGAAGGGAAACCAGCACTGACACCTGACTTAGAGAAGGGACTTCCCTTCCGTGTCCCCAGCCGCGGACAACCACCCAAACCTGGAGGCAGTGCTCTCCCTGGAACCGCCACCAGAGGGCAGGCGGCTCCCGGTTTCACGCCTCGTGCAGTGGGAGGGGCAGCTCCAGGCGGCCACTTGGGCTGCCAAATGCCCGAATGTCAGCAAGCAGATGGCATCTCCCGGAAGCAGATGCTCTGCCGCCAGGCTCCACCAGGCTCTCCTCAGGCCGCAGAGAAATCCTGGGGCAGGAGGGGAGGCTGGGGCCTTGACTGCTTCCGCTTCATATTCTTAGGAGTCTTGATAAAAGCTTGGGAGGGTAACTCCTGGAATATTAAAAGGGATTTTGGCAAACTTCCCAAGGATCCTTCATGTGAGCTAAGGCCATGGGAGTGGCCCAGAAGGAGGCGGTTCTGGGTCACGGCTCCGTCAGGCAGCGTCCCCAAGCCTGGCGTGAAACGCCACTTCTGATGGGGAGCAGACCCCGCTGGGCCAGGATCGCAGCGAGCGTGCTGACTCCCGCGGGGCCCGGCCTCCCGCCCCTGGCGATGCCCTGTGCGACTGGGCTGCTGTGGCCGCCAGGCGAGCGAAGCTGGCAAGATGCTCAATGCAGGGAGAGGGCCGTGGCTCGGAGGGTGGGACCCAGCGTTCCCACAGGAGGTAGCAGGCCACGGCAAAGCCCATCGCCCTGCAGGCAGCAGAGCCAGATGGCCCTGCAAGTCCTTTACTGAGATTTTCACCTGTCAAGGCCCCAAAGGAAGCAGCGGAGGGAGGGCTGAGAGCGAGTGAGGAGCCATCTGGCCGGGCCCTCCTGCCTGGCGCTGACCGTGGCAGCTCTGCCGGACCTGAGGCTCCAGGTTGGGCCGCAGAGCCCTCCCACCGGGGATGAGGACTCCAGCCTCACCAAGCCGCAGCAGTGCGTGTACGGTCGGGGCTGTACGGACTCCCTGAACCTCGATGACACCTGGACCCCAGGTTCAAACCTCAGGACTGGGGGGGCTGAGACTCCTCCCGGCCCCAAGATGCTCCGCTTCTGAGACGCTGATGTGGTCTGGAAATCACAGGCTTGGTGGTGGTTTCCACCATCAGCAGCATGCCCCACAGCCCCACTTTACTATATTTATTCCGGATGATTAAAATATTGTCACAGAAAGCCGTGAGGCTGACTTAAACATGACTTCCGGCACTGAACCCGTGGGCTTTATTTTTACTGATTTAATAAACGCTTATAAAGCTCTTCCTGTGAGCCAGGAGCTGTTCTCAGCACTTTACAAATAGTAACTCATCTAGCTGTTTTGAAAGACAGTTCCTTCAACCTTTCTGTTAACAAACACGTGGAGGAAAAGTCGAACTTTTCCATCTGTTTGGGTTTTGCTGCAAGTGGTTTCTCTCGCCCACAGCCCGCCGCTGACTGAACTCTGAGTGCATCTGCGAGCCTGTTTCTGAATCCCACACATGGGAGCATGGTCCGCTGTGCGGGCTGTTGCTCTAAAACATCCATGACACGCACGCCCAGCCCGGAACACAGTGCTCACCATGTAGCCGCACGTGCCCACTGGGAGGGGCCAGGTGCATGGACATCGGGAAAGGGCTATCCAAACACGAGAAGTTTCCAGGTTCACACTGTCCGCAGAGTTAGCACAGGCCCGGGACGTGCCAGGCGCTGTCCTAGGTGCTGAGCACCTGAGGGTGGCAGGCCCATACTCTCCTGGAGCCTGAAGCCTTTTAAGTGAATTCTGACCGTGCGCTGAGCACCTGGTCCTAGCCCACTCTTGAAAAGCAAAACAAGTACAAAGGAGACGAAGCAGGAGAGGGAAATGAGCTCGCATCGGTGCGACCTCTCCACAGAGACAAATCTCCACTGGTGAGAACCGTCCGCCCGGCACCCGCTAGGCACCCTCTTCCCGAACATCTGAAAAGGGTGGCGGGGCTTCCTTCCCACTCCCGCAGGGAGGACCTGAACGGCAGCAGCACCGTCAAGCACCCCCTTTGTTCCTGTTCCCAATTCTGAGAGGCCAGCCACAGCAGCACGCGCAGCCCCGACAACACAGGCCCCTCAACATGCTTCGCCTAACGGGGACGCTGGCCAAAGGTGACAGGGGACTCGCCCAGGCCTCTGGGGGAACTGAAGAAGTGGACGCTTCTGCACCAGCAGCTCCAGTTCTGCAATGAGAGCTAAGAGTCAGCCACAGGGGAAGGGAGGGCGACGGCCGTGCGCCCCTGGGGCCACAGGGGTCTCTCACGTGCTTGTCCCAGAGTGTCAGCTTTCCGGCATCTTCAGAATTGCCAACTCTGAGCAAGACAGCAGGGCACGGGGCCAGAGCCCGGCTCTGGCAGGAGCTGTCACCCCACTTGGTGAGCCGCAAGCCCCCTTCTGGGGGCACAATGGCCGACACTCCCTGGACGGGCTGCCCCACGAGAGGCGGGGCAGGGCATCGGCCGCACACCTCTGAAGAGCTGCCATGAGTTCGAACCTCGCTGAGGGAGGGAGCAGGTACTGCTGGATCAAGCAGCCACGAGAACCCCGACCTGGAGTCCACAGTGCCAGGAACCAGCCACCAGGCTGAGAGTCCCCTCTGGCCATGCCTGGTGAGCGGGGCCTGCAGGACGAGGTCAGCTTCCTGTCCGGGCGGGAGGCAGTGGGCTAGCTGTCAAGCACACCCCACGTCTCAGTCTAGCTCTCTCTGGTCCTGAGCTGTGATCTGGCAAATCTGAGGTGCCTCCACAGATGAATGGGGACCCCTAAACTCCATAAACTCAGATCGCCTTCCTTGGGGGACCTGGCCTGAAGTTCAAATTGTCCACCCTCATCCAGGAGGCACTTGCCACCTGGGTAGGTGGTCAGAGGCGCACTGCTGCCCCCTAGTGGCCACCCTAGGCTGGACACCCATACCTGTGAGGACGTGGGAATTGGAGGTTTATTTTGCTGAGAATATGCCTGTAAATTTATTGCCTTCTTAATCAAGGAAAAATCTTTGCGGTTCATGGACTATGGGAAAGAGGCTAGCCTGGTCCTCAACGGGAAAATTTTTTATCTGAATTAAACCTTTACTCCCTGGTTGAGGCATGAAGAACCCTCCTGGAAGAATGAGCCCAATGAAATACAGAGTGTGGGTCACAGGGTCGGTGTGGGGTCCAGGCACAGCTGGTCCACCAGAGGAAGGGGCAGTGCTTTATTATAGACAAACCTCATTGGCATCAAAAACATGTATTACTAAAGCTTATTTTTAACTTGTTCTCCTTGGGGGAAAATAATGCGAAGACTTTACCAGCCACGATCTTCCAGACTTGACATGTTCAAGGTCACAGCAAGGACAAACCTGCCTTTTAGCCCTGAACTCTGAGAGGCTTTTCCTTCTCCTAAAAAGATGCTAAAATTGTACTAAGTGAAGTTGGCATGACCTGAAGCAAATCGGCTTTCTTTTAGCATGACTTTGTGGAGCAGTGTGGAATGAGCTCAGAGGCGGGGTGGCCACCACTACAGCCTTGAGTTCTGGGGCACAAGAAGCCTGATCCCTACCCGTGGCTTTTCCTCGACCCCAAACAGGTCTGGGGGCCAGCCCCTAACTCTCCCCGGACGGAACTGGTGTCCCTTCCTTTCTAATCCTTATCCCCACATGGCCTCGCCCACGCACTCGCTCGTTTGTTCGCGGCCTGCCCCACATTCTGGGCTCACAGGAGCTGTCCCCTGCCCTGGGGGAGCCCTGGGCCAGTGCTGGAGACAGACTCGAGAACAGACCACAGTGACAGAGGCAGGCCGAGGGCTACGGGGCACGGAGGTGAAGCCCCAGCCTGGGTGGGGTGGGGGACTGAGGACTTTCTGGAGGAGGTGGCCCTTGAGTGACAACAGTACGGGAAGGCGAATGTGAATTTTGGCCTCCTGCTCTGGCAGGTTCCTCCTCCACTCCCCCCGCCCCGCCTGCAGCCTGGGTTCGCTGGCAGAGCTGGAGCTCTGTCTTCGTTAGAGACGCTGCTGGACTGGACCTGCCTTTTCTGGCCCGATCTCACGCCCCACTGTGTTTGCCTCCTGACTGCGAAGTCTCAGCGGAAACATGCTGCTGGCCCCACCGCCCGGCGCCAACGCCCGTGTCTCCTCCGCCCTCCTCCCAGGCCTCTCTCGTCTGCGGGTCTGGCGTGAACACTCGGGTTAGACGTTTCAGACCCTACAGCACATTAGAAAAGGCTAACTACTTTCATTCCTTACTCTACCTATACATCTTTTTACAAAGACCATGCTACCTACTCTCCCGTGACCCTTCCTACACACTCTCCCTCCCTCTGTGGCCAGAGCGGCCTCTGTAAGCGGGTGCTGGCCCTCGCCCGCCTGCTGCCTCGACACCCTGCCATTACCACCTGGCGCAGAGACTCTGGCCCTCTCTGAATCCCCTTTTGTGGGCCCCTGTCTAGCACAGACCCTGCACACCAACCAGGCCTTCGACGTGCTGTGGCTGGTAAGAGAAGGAGAAATTCCAGTCCGCACCCTGCGTGGGTCTCTGCAAACCCAGTGTCCCTCTTCCAAAGGTGGACTGCTAGGCCCCGAGGTCTCTTCATTTCCCGCAGAAGATCCACGCCCAGGGCGCCAGAGCCCGCTAAAGCGAATCCTGTCGTCCCGGCCAGCCCTCGCCACGGGCCAGTCTGAGGGTCGGCCCCTCTCACCGACGTGCCAACAGCAGCCGAGGCTCAACCACAACAGGAGGGCACACACAACCCACACAAGGGACACACGTAAAGAAGCACTCAGCTCAGGAGACTGTGCCACTGGGCTCCGCAGGACGCCTACTACCTAAGACCACTCTGTAAAGACTGGGAGACACGGCAGCTCTACCCGATACACAGAAACAGACACAGGAGGGCGACGAAATGACAGCACTGAAGATCGGGCCCCAAATGAAATAACAGATCGAATCTCCAGAAAAAGAATTAAACAAAACGGAGACGAGCGAGCTACCGGACACAGAGTTCAAAACGCTTGGACCGGAGCTTCTCAGAGACACCCCCCACCCCGCCCCGGCACTGCCAATTCCTTCAGAAAAGGCCAGGAGACGCGGGAGAGCGGGGAGGCCCTGCCGAGGGCCCCCCCTCCGTGCACCCCACTCTTCCGTCGCCAGCTTCGCCCCGGCCTCCGCCCGGGGCCTGCTCCGCCTCTCCCCAGGAAGCGCCTGGCTGCACGACAAAGCCCTTCGCCCTGCCGTTGTCACCCGACAGAAGCAGCTGTCCAGGACCAGAATCGAGAGCCTCTGCCTTCAGCCCCTCAGCTGTCCTCTCCCCGCCGGAAGGAACCTGAGACCCAGCTGAGAAGCCGACGCAGTGGTAAGGGTCCCCGTCCACCCTCTCCTGCTCAGGCCAGGGCTGGCTCCCGCGGCACTCCACACGCACAGGGTACACATGCGGACACGGCCCCGACCAGCATCCCTCAAGGCCTTCCCGCCTTCTGACCGTCAACGTGAAGAGCGCTGGGCACTGGCTCAGACCAGCGAGAAAGGAGTCCAGGGCTGGGGCATCCGCAGGCCGCACTACTGCTTTTGACCACACAATGCAGCGACACGGGCACTAGTGCTCAGGGAAGGACTGGCCGCCTCCGTCATTTTCAGAGCCCAGGGGAAACGCAGGGGTCCTTGACCGAAACTACTCAATCTCAAGGTGGCAGCAGCAGCGCATTCGGCCAAGCACAGGGCCTCCACGACTGCACGGGCCGCACGTGTGTGAAGCCGGCCCTGGCTCAGGGGCCTCGGGGCCCGAGGCCAGCCTTCGAGCTGGTGGACACCTCGACTATCCCCCACCTGCTTGCCTGTCCTTTCATCCCAATGTCCTGCTGATTCTACGCACAACGCTGGGAGAAAAGTATATTTTCAGAAAGCCACTGGGGTGACATTTTGCAAAATGTATCGTTTCACAATTGTTAGGCGAGTTCCCTCCGGAAAGGGGGAGCCCCTCTGGGAAACAAGTATGGCAGCGGGGTCCAAGCTCTGAAAATTTACTCTAGCCAAGGCTTCTCCTCGGCTTCTAAAGTAATCCGGCGACCCATCACTTTCATCGTCAAAGCAGCCGGCCCGGTCTGAGATATTTACAAGCACTGAGAGGCGGGGCCCCAAAGCCCCTGGCCAGCGCCTACGTCTCTGTATCTTAGAGCGCAGGGTGGGGCTGGGGAATGTCTGGTCTGCCGTGTGACTCTTCCCTGGTCTCCAGCCCCCCACTCCCCCCTCCCAGGCACCCCAACCCCGTGTGAAAGGAGGGCGTCACCGATGCATCTCCCCGGCCCCACCCAGCTCTCACGCCCTCCCACTCGCCGGCCGAAAGGATGCTTGCCACACAGACCAGGCTAATGAGACGCGCACTGGGAACCGAGGCGGCCAGCGAGGTCGATGCGCGAAGCAGGAGGTGGAGGCCACACCTCGGAGGCAGGGACGGCACGCGGCACCACCCTCGTGGGACGGAGCCCCGCACGGCTGAGTCCCCTCACATACGCAGCCGTCACCACCTGCAACGCCCTCCTCCAGCCCCCTCCCTGGAGAGTCAGCCGACCACGGGCAATGCCATCCGAGTCCACCCCTTCTGGGCTCTGTGACCTTGGGCAGGTCCCTGCCCCCTGCGGTCTCCTGATCCCCTGGGTGCAGAGAGGGGTTGGATGGGCCATTCCAGAGCACAGCAGCTCTTAAATAAACGTCGTGATTCTCGGAGTCCTACACAAATGCCTCCTAAGAGGCTGTCTAGAGGTGATAGGTGATTTCTGTGCCCAGAGCCGTTTTCTGAGGAAACGCCTGAGGAGAAAGGGGCCTGGGTGGCCCGGTGTGACTGTCTGGTCTCTTCTTACCCAGCATCTCAAACCTCAGCGCCTTGCCACAGGGTCCCCCGGAAAGTTACGCAAGGCCCCTGCCCAGCACCTACCCTTCCTGGCAGTCTTCGTCCAGGTTTGACAGCAGCTGCGAGCCCGCGGCGGAGAGGTCGGCCGCGGCCAGGGGCAAGTCTCGGTAGGCAAAGGGCACCAGCGGCCCGGGGTTGAAGCTCCTGCCCTCGTCCACGTGCTGGGAGAGGATCTCGACGTCGGAAGCACGCCCTTCGGCGGCAGGCCTGAGTGGAGAGGGTATGACAGGGCAGTCACCCCTCACGAGCACAGCACCTTCTCCATTCCCCACAGAGAGGGGACGACCACCAGACGCTGTGCCGTGCTGCTGGGAGGTGTGAGGCTGCCGTTCCTCCCTGCCGGCCACCCGAGGGACCCGCACGTCACCTCTCACCAGTCAGGAAAGGTGGAAAATGGGAAGAGGAACTGCTCAGATTTGAATCTATGAGCTGTGGGACAGGGTCCTTCATCACAGGAACGTGAAGACCCACATGGAAACTCAGCAAACCAGCGAAACCAGGCTTAGATTCAGGCTTCTTGGTCACTGGACTTCACATGGGAGTAATTATGTTTTCAAACTGTCTCCTGGGTTTCTCTGTAAAGGTCCCTGGGGATGCTTCCACCTCCCGTGGCCAACGGAGAAGAGGCTTTTGTTCTCAACTGGATGTACTGCTGGTGGGCGGGGCGCCCGCCTGGAGACCTGGAGAGACGACGTGGGCCTCGGGGCAGCGAGGACAGAAGGGGCCGCTGTCCCTGGGGGCCGCCCCCTTCCCACTGGAACTGGCCCTAAAGCAGCGCCCTCTGGAAGGCTGAGCGGGAAATGGGGTCACTCGCTCAAGTGTCTGAGCTGTGGGTCTCCCCCTGTGTTACTGGCAGGCTCACATGGGCACCACGAATAACCCACAACTGTCGCCTCCACTGGCATGACGGGACCCCCTCGCCCAGTGCAGCACCGCCTCCCAGCCCACCAGGGTGTTTAGCAACTGTGGTGGCACTTTTCACGGCCACGGTGACCACAGGGGGTCGCTTTTGACATAAGTAGACGTAGGGACATTACACATCCTGCACCACGTGACTCTGTGATCCGCCCATCAACAGGAAAAGAACACGTCCCAACCTTCGATTCTGTGTTCACTCGTGTGACTTGTTTTGGCCGATGAGATGTGAGCGAACGTGACGGCAGCAGAGGCATGGGAATGCACCCGTGAATCTCTGCCCTGCTGCGGCCCTGCGATGTCACGACTGGAACGTGACCAGCCTAGTCCAGGGAGGGACGAGAGCCACGCCAAGCAGAGTCCAGTCTCCTTGTTCCACGCCCAGGTGTGATCCAGCCAGGACTGGTGCAGCTGTCCGGCTGGCTGCCCCGGACGTGGAGGAGCACGCGCTGCCTGTGCATTCTACTGAGGGTCCGCGGGTGGCTGTCCCATGGTGCTGCTGTGGCAGGAGACAGCCGGTCCACGCTCGCGGGGCTGGAAGCCAGCCAGCCGGATGGGCGGGCCGGGGCAGCGTGGTGGCACAGAAGGGGTGCTGTCCTCATCTTGGATTTGTGCCAGTGAGTTGCAACCGCGAACTAGCGAGCACCCTCGTCCGGTTCCTGGCTCTGCTCGCCGTTCCCGAGTCGTGAACTCGTGAACTCCCCTGACGCGCTGCGCTTCCCAGCGGCGTCCTGAGGCCCGCTTCTGACGGGCCTCCCGCTGAAGGAGACGAGTGTGGCGGCTGCCTGAGCGGGAAGACCCTTGTCCTGCGGGACGCTGACGCTGGTCTTGGAGAGCGGGGTTCTTCTGCTTTTGCAAAGGACGTGATGCAACCACAGCAGCCAGGCGACTCGGAGCGGAAGCGGACTTAACGGGTCGTTTCGACGCTGGGCTCGCGGACAAACCAGCGGCAGCGCCTGCATCTGCCCAGGACGGTCGCACCCACGGCCCGGGCTCCGAGCCCCAACTCAGCCCCCGCGCTACTTACTGTGCGCTGCTCATGTCGAAAGACGCGGCCAGAGCCACGGGCTGCCTGGCGTCTAGTGCGGCTCAGCGGTGCTGCAGCTGACTGGCGGCATCTCCACGCTGACTTCTGCGCAGCAGACGCGTGCGGCGCCCTGAGGACAAATAACTGAGTGGCAATTTATCACACTCGGATGCCAACCCCACGTCCTCCCGAGCTCGTCTGAAAACAGAAGTCCTTAGTACTTTCCTCCATGGACCACTTTTCTTCACAGTCATGTTGAACGGATGCCTAATGATTACTCTCTGGGATATCACAACAGGCAGAATTTCTCTCAGAGAGATGAAGAAACAGGCTCAGAGTGACAAAATGACTTTTCTGTGTCACACACAGATGGCAGAAGAGCCAGGATGGACCCTGGGCTTTCTTATTCCTAATCCGCAACTGTTCCCACTGAATGTGCCTACAGAAACGGGGTAATTTTATACTTCGGCTTTAGGAATCTCAAAAGTAAGGTTTGTCTCAAAAATCTCAAGTGTTTTCCCACAAACTTCTTTCTCCCATTTCCGCTTCTGCTTGGTAGCTCTGCCTCGCCACTCAGCATCCTTGCAGGCTTTCCCCAGAGCCCCTTCCGGATGGGTCTCCCAGGGGAGGGGTCAGGGCCTGGCTCCCACTCACTAGCCTCATCACCTCGGTAAACTCGCTTACCCTCTCTGTCCCCAGACTCTCTGCCTATAAAATGGGAATAACAATAGCATTAACTAAATGAGGAAATGTAGGGGAAACGCTCAGAACAGTGCCTGGCGCGTAGTGCTGGCTTTTATTATAATTTTATAAATTTAAATCACACAGTTTGTTGAATCTGAGCACATTCCAAAGCATTTGGATGGCTGAGCATAAGATTTCCTGTTAAAATATGGACTCGATAAACAGAATATACTTCTCTATAAACCAGTGCTCTGGCACCACCTGGAAGTCTCTGGGAGACAGTAACAATCTGGCAGTAAGTACACAGATGACGAGACAGACCTGGGTTCTGGGAGCTTCTGCACAAGTTACAGGGAGGCTTCTCAGAGGGCCTTCCTTTTGTAAGTTGCTTCTACCCCGAACTGCTTTTCCTACAGCACAGACGGGATAAAACCCACCCCAACCCGGCAGCTCAGCTCAGAGGCAGCTGACCTCAGGAGACAGAGGGTGCACAGCTCCACCCTGCAAAGGGAACGCCTGCTCCGAGCATGAGAAACACCAGTGGATGACGGTAAAGTTGACACGTGGGGAAGCTCCTTGAAGTTCTACGTAAATAGGAAGAGTAAGAGCTCAGGAAACTTGAGGAAATCACCGGGAAGTCTGAGCTCAGAGCAGCTGGAAATGCGCGGACAGAGAGTTCTCCAGTCCGAAGGGCTCTAGCCCAGGAGACCCCGCTTCCACACCAGTGAAAGGAGCATGGAGGAAGAGGTGGGGAACGAGGGCGGGGGAATGAGGCGGATGGTGTGCAGCCGCACCTAGCCGAGGGCTCACCTTGCCTCTGTCTACCTTCGTCAGGAGGGGCTAAGCCTTGAAACCAGAACTCTGCAGGACTCGGGATCGTGCGTTAACTGTAAAGCAGGCTTTATAAAGGTCTCCATCCCATAACAGATTCGGTCTGTCTCGGACATTTCTGTTCTCCTTATAAAGCCTCAAGCTAACAAACTCTTCCCACTAGTAAGACCGGGCATGTGGCTGCCTAACCTCGACTGACAATGAAGGCAGGATCGAGGTAGCCACAAGTGGGGGACCAGGTGAGCAACACCCCTTTCAGAATGGTGTCGTAACACGTATTCCTAAGCGAGCACTTCGCACTCTACCCAAAGAGTCCGCTCTGTGCAGGTACCACAGGAAGGTCTCTGCTGCTGCGGACCGCCCAGTCCGGCAGGCCGGCGAGACTGGGACACGCGGAACTTCCAAGTCCAAGTGTGCGCTCAGCAGGGAAAACTGACCGGTCTCTGTTTATAAATGATAAATGTGAACAACTACATTAATGCAGTGTGGCCAATGGAAAGCATATGCAAAAAATACAAATAAAGATGATAAAAAATTCTTAATTTTTGGAAGGGAAATTTCAAACATATGGAATTGTTTACTGGATTTCTAGACGCCCATCTAGACGCCCACCTCGGCAGTCATCCGCTCTGGGACAGTTTGTTTTCCCAACATTCTCGCCCCTCCCCCTACACTCCGTGGTTGTTTTGAAATGCTATTTATTTCGTCCATCTGTGAATGTTTCAATATGTAGCTCTAGGATAAGGATTCCTTTTAAAAGACAACCATGAAATTACGATCACCCCTAAGCCAACGATATTTTCTTAATATCACCAATATTAATATCACCAAATAACCAGGCATTGTTCCCATCTCCCCATTTGTCCTGTAAGTTTTTTTCAGGCTTGCTGAATCAGGACTCAAACAACGTGGACACGTAACGACTGGTTAGCATGACTCTGAAGTCTCATCTCATCTGGAGGTTTACCTCACTCTCATTTTCTCCATGCAGTTCATTGGAGAAGCTAGGACATTAGTCCGAGAAAAGCTTCCCGCACTCTGAATGATGCTGGCTGTAACCCTTCCACGTCACTTACACGCCCCTCTGTATCTCCTGTAGGTTTTAGTCGGTCTACAGACTTTAATGAGATTCAGGTGCAATTTTTTTTTTTTGTCAAGATTACAGGCACTGTTGCGAGTTCAGTTGAGACAAATAATGGTTTCTTGTTCCTCTTTTTGTGATATTAACAGCTAGTGATCACTTCCGAGGTCCATTAATTCATCAGACTTTGCTAAAGGGTCGCATTATGATTTCATCAGTCCTTCCTTTATCAGTCTCTAGAAAGACAAACTCTCCCTCATCAACTATTTAAGGTCCAGTCCATATAGAAAAAGAAGGATAAATGCTTAACTTTCCTCCCTTTATTTACTGCTTTTCTAAACAATAAACTGATATCTGCTTATCTTCCAAAGTTGATCAATGAGGTTTTGTTTGCTTATTTTCCAAAGCATCGTGGATTTAAACATTCGCTCAGCAAAGGCTGAGCTGGGGGAGCAGCCTCTCTGGATTGGGATGGCAGTGCCCTGGAGACGAGGTGTGGCACTGGGGACGCAGCACGGCAGACAGGACGCGGGCGAGAGGCGTAGGGGCGCATCTGGTGGACAGTGAGCAGGCTGCATCTGTCAGAGGTTCCAATCCTTAACAAGCAGCACATTTCAGACGGCAAGATTCCTTAAGATGACGTGATTTAAAAATGGCATTTTCTCAACGAAATAACCCCAAAGCACAAGCCTAGCAGGAAGCAGGTAGAGTCTAGTGCTCTAGAAAGGAAGTGCAAACCAACCGTCTCGCAAAGCTGGTGGTCTGAGGAGGTGGGGCCTGTGGCAGGGGCCCCCGTGAATGCGATGAGTGCCGTCGCGAGCCTCGAGGACTGAGAAAGCAACATGGGTGGTTTCGGTCACAGCAGCCTGCATGGACGAAGACAGTCACCTAACTTCACCGCCCGTTCCGCTGTAGCTGGACCTGGCCATGTGACGTGTTTTTTCCAGGTACACTGTGAGCTGTGATGGTTAATTTTACATGATAACTTGACACATAAAAGCATATTTGGTGAAAGACTATTTCTGGGTGTGCCTGTGAAGGTGCTTTTGGACGAGATGACACGTGCAGCATGGACTGGGTTAAGGAGGGGAACGTCCTCGACGAGGGTGGGCTCTGTCAGTCCGTGGAAAGCCTGAACAGAACAAAAGCCTGGGCAAGAATCTTCTCTCTGCCTGTCTGTGAGCTGGGACATCAGCCTTCTCGCTCAGGCTTGAATTTACACCCTTGGCTCTCCTGGGTCTGGACTTCTGAGCTCACATTATAGTGAGCCAATTCTTTACAACAAACCTCTTTCTCAAACACACACGTGTACCCATCCCACTGGTTCTGTTTCATATACCAACGAACGTGAAAAGCGATCACTGGGCTCTCGCTCTCTCTTGCACGTCACCATGAGAAGATGCAGGACCGTCACCACAGCCAAGGCCAGCCGACTGCCCGCCCCACCCACTGCGCACACACACGTTAGCTCAGTCACGACCGGAGCAGCCACCCAGCTGTGCCGGACGAAATCACCAACCCATAGCCTTACGAGCCAAGTAAAGTTGTTTTTTAAAAATTCATTCCTTAGTCATTTGTCAGCACCTTCTAGGTTCTAGGAACCATATTAAACACCGAGATGACCAAGATAAATGAGACATGGTCATGGCACTCGAGAGACTCGTGGGCTAGAGCCGGACGCATAGACAGAAATTAAAATTCAAGGAGGTGAGCACAATGAAACATGACAAAGGAGTGTTTTGAAAGCTGTAAACTTCCTCATAAATATTAAGTACCTAATGACTCCTCCCTGGCAGGCACAATGCCTGCCATCGGTTAAGAATAAGGTTTTTTTTAAGCCACCAAGTTTTTGTGGTCCTCTGTTATGTGAAATCATTGTGGCAATAGATCTCTGACACATTAGACGAATATCCACTGCGACGCATAAAAACAAAGATGTATATTCCTGGACAGCTAAACTGCTCCCGGTCCTCCATTTTAACCCCCGCCTCTGGCTTGAGGACCGCGCGTTAACGCCCAGGCATGGAAGCCCTTGCTCAGAGCCACACAAACGTGCTCATGTGCCTCAGCCAACTCCGCGGATTCGTGGTTAACCAACTAAAACCAACTTTACGCTTTGCTTTTATTGGCGATGTACAATGGACATGTTTTCTGGTCAGTAGATAAAGATTTACATTTTTCTTATTCATTCATACACACGCACTGCTTATCATAAAACTCACCTTTTTAGTGGCTCCTTTCTCTCTTCTGCCTGCTTCTGCCACCCTTCCTGCCTCACTGCGGTCGCCCCCCACGCACCCAGATACCAACGTTAAATCTGTACACGTCTCCCCGTACTTTTTTTTGTGCTGATGTATTTACAAAAACATGTTGTTGTCTGTTTTATTTAAAAATATGTGTTATTCACGCTCATCTGCTTTTTGCTTTCGCCTCTACAATACCTTGTAGAAACCCCTCTCCCGGGTCGAGGAGGAAAGCCCAAACTCCTTGTTTACCTAACAGCTGCATGACGCTCCACTGTGTGGCTGCTCTGT